TCCGTAGTTGCCCATTCGACCACCACCGCCGCCGCCATGGAGAGGAGCACCCATTGGAAGACCTCGTCGCCTAAAAAAGGATTTTTTAATTAGTCTAAAATGTTTTTTTTTTTTGCTTTTTTAAGGTCTAACTATTACTCTTAAAAACTAAAAAGAAGCTCGCCCAAAGCGAATAAAATCTTGTTTTTTTTTCTAATAAACTTGATAACACGTTCATGACAAAAGCCTGCATGTGGTCCATTTGCTGCTAGGTTAAGACTAGAACTGTACTCAAAGCTGTTTCGCCCTAAACTTTAATTTAAAACTAGTTTAGCACCACTTTTGTCACAAAGATGTTAAAGTGCAATGAAAAGAATGCCCTGCCTTCGCTCGCGCTCTTCTTCGAGATTCACATGCCAATAGCGACAGCGCTAAAAAATACTAAATTGAATCTCAATAAGCTTTCTACCGCCGCGCCACGACCACATTTTCCGGTTTGAAACTCCTTGCACACTGGGATTCCGTTGATTGTGTCGCCGTTCGTCACTGCGGCAATTGCGCGAGCTGTAGATGTAAAATAGATCACAATTAAAGATATACAGTGCAAAAAGATTTTTAGCACTCCGCAGTGCCTTAACTAGACAAAATTCTTATCATTTTAGCCATATTGCAAAAGAAACTTCAACTTCAAATTCGAAACGCTTCATCGATTACGACCTTGTTTTTAAGCAAAGTTTAATGCGACCGAATACCTAATGGTAGATTCACTTCGCGCGTCGCTTTGTAGCGCTCGGCTTCTTCTTTAGGGACGTGGACGAAGCGACATTGGTTTCGCGTACAACCGCGATTCTAAACGGTTGCTTAGCACTTGAACGATCTTTTCTGCGTTTGCGCACAATAAAGCCTTTTTATTTTTTCGCCTTTTCATCAATTCAAGAAGTAGATCAAAATCAAATGTAAATCTATTAAATAAAAAGGCTTCATTAAACTTTAGTTTTGCGCTGCCACAATTTTAAAATACAAAGAAAACTTGCAAACCTGATAATCAATGCAGAAGTGAATTTGCGTTTCTGATGGCTTTTCAGCGTCGGGAGGGTGGTAAAATTTGCAATTTCGGCCTCGGTTGCAGATGTTCTTCAAGAAATCTCGGCACACATCATCACGATCACGTCCACTATCACGCCCACCGTCCTTTCGTTCGGGACCTTCGCTTTTCTAAAAGAATCCAGGTCAATGAAAATTGTTTCATTTTGTACAAGTACAACAATCTAAGTTAGGCGGTCTTTTAACAAACAACCAAAGAAAACCCAATGATAACCTCAAAACTCCAGAAATAACCTAAAACCGAAAACAAAGTTGAAAGTTAACTACCTACTAAGGTATCCGTAAAACCTATTTTTTCAAAGTTTTAGATATCTCATTATGCACGCTAAATATATCTGCTTTTCCTACTTCGCTCTAAACACTGATTTCCAAATAAACAAATAGTTCTCCCTCCGTAAACAAAGTTGCTTACACAAGTTCCACCTGTCATCAAAAAGGTTCCACTATCGTTGAAATTTGATAATAAAAATGATACCTGTTCCGAAAATCCATTATTATCGTCGCGGCTATCTGCCATCTTTCGATGATCACTCGAGTCCGCTAAAAAAGAAACATTAAAAATCGAAAAGCTAAAAAGTAAATCGTACATAAAAGCAAAGGAAAACGAGAAAAATAGGTAGGGGAAATTTATGTGGTGATAATGCCCAATAGCAAGCAGATGCTCGAGAATTGATCGATGAAGGAGGGGGACAGACAAGTAGAGAATCAGAGAACAGCCAGTGTCCCTTGCAACAGTCTAAAAGGTGCACTCTAATTTTGCGTGGCAAACTTAAAAGAGAAAGAGAAAGCACCCATGTGGCATAAAACTAATGTAATAAAGCTTCAGTTTGAATTTTATTAACTAGGCCTTTTAATAAAGCTATCTCAAGCTTCAACTGAATATCTTTTCTTTACATAACAGCTTATTTATCATCAAAGCTTGTTTGTTTATTGTCGGTGGTTTTCCATAAGTTTTCAACCCTCAAAACTAAAATTGGGACTATGACAATACCGCACCGCTACTTGCGCACACGTGGAAAAACGCCTTTTGCGCACAATAGGCCCCGTCCACTAGCGCTAAAAGTAGCGCCAACTTCAAGCCACTAGCGTCAACTTCAAGCGCTAAAAGTTACACCAAATGGCCCACATTGCTTCGATTGGACCCAAATTTTTACAGCATGTTGCGCTCGCCTATGGACATACTGTAAAAATTTTGAGCTTAATAGCTTCACTACAAAAAAATTTTAGAGTGACTTAAATTTTTTGTGCGCAAAAGACGCAAAAAAAGACGTCATTTGCGCGCAAAACAAACGATGGCTTCCCAATTTTTTTTTTGTAGTGAAGTTATCAAGCTCAAAATTTTTACAGTAGATGGACATAGGCAAGTGCAACATGCTGTAAAAAATTTGGGCCCAATCGAAACAATGTGGACTATTTGGTGCAACTTTTAGCGCTTGAAGTTAGTGGACGGGGCCTATTGTGCACAAAAGACGTTTTTCCACGTGTGCGTAAGTAGCGGTGCGGTATTTGCATAGTCCCCTAAAATTTAAGGCAAAAATGGGTCTCGAACGCGAATTGCCCAAGGAGGATCTCGGAAGTAAACACATTCTCTATCACATAAACTTCCCCATTGCTTTGTTTTCCTGGGTTTATTCAATTAAAACCTTTGTTTCACTTGCTTGGAAGCTTTTAATCTATAGAATTTTCAGCCACCATGGACACGGGTCGCTCACGGCAGTACACGAAGATTTTCGCGGCGGTCGCTTCATATTGGTAGGCTGATTCTTTTAACGATTCTTTTTACCCGATACTAGAATAGTTTTGCGATGATATTAAAATTTTCCTTTTATTTTAGGGTCTTCTCAATTGGATTGGTCTTCCTCAACAAGTATTTGCTCAGTGAACAGGAGCATGTAAGTTTTTAAATTTTGTAAAATTACTTGATTACCTATCATTTACTTTAAACATAGAATGAGATCAAAAGATTAGTGACTTCATCACTGTTTATGACTATGGATTTAGCTTGATGCTCCGCTATTTATCACATGGTTCCAATGTGTGGTCACTGTCGCGTTGTGCTTCATACTCTCGAAGATCAGCAAGGCTTTCCCTAACAGCTCCATTCAATTTCCAAACATGTATTTGGATCAAAAAATATCGAGAGAGGTTTGTTGTTCAATTCAACACTTTAAATTCTATTTTTAGGTTTTGCCACTTTCCATTGTTTTCGTCGGGATGATTGCATTCAACAACTTGTGCCTTAAATACGTTGGTGTGTCGTTTTATTACGTCGGTCGCTCACTGACAACTATTTTCAATGTTGTAAGTAAAATTGAGCAAGTTTAAATTTATTATGTCTTTTTGAGGTTTGCTCCTACTTGATTCTTGGTCAAAAGACATCGGCTCGAGCAATTGGATGTTGTTTGTTGATCATCGGTGGATTCTTTTTAGGAGTAAATCAAGAGGATGTTGCTGGTTAGTGCCTTAAATAATGGTATACATAATTTTTACTTTTTTAGGGTCTCTATCCGTTTCTGGTGTTGTTTATGGAGTCCTAGCCTCGCTTTGTGTCGCTCTAAATGCCATTTACACTTCAAGGTTTGTAATCGCTTTATGGCTGTAATATATTTTTGGCTTTTTTTAAAGGCAGGACACTTTTTTATTTAGATCACTTGGTGCTGTCGGTGATTCTATTTGGAGACTAACGATGTACAATAACTTGAATGCCATTGTTCTATTCCTACCTCTCATGCTTTTCAGGTAACATTTTATAAAATTTTTCTTTTTAAAATAGCTTTAGTGGTGAGTTTGGGCAGGTTGCCTACTTCCCCCAACTTTTCTCGGGCACTTTCTGGACGTTGATGGTCATTTCAGGCATTTTCGGATTTATGATGGGCTATGTGACTGGTTGGCAAATTCAGGTAGGATTAGCCATTTATCTCCTTCAACTTTTTTCCTTAGGTGACATCTCCCCTCACCCACAATATTTCCGGAACAGCCAAGGCCGCGGCACAGACTGTGATGGCTGTAGGATGGTGGCAAGAGGTCAAGCCATTCTTATGGTAGGTTCTCAATCTCATAAAAAATTGCGATAGGGAAAAAATATGGCCGATTATTCGACTAAGATTTACGAACTATTTTTTTCAGGTGGGGTAGCAACTTTGTCGTCTTGATCGGTTCGGCGTTGTACACTTGGGTTAAAAGTCAGGCAAGTGTTTAAATTTTTAACCTAGTTTGTTAGTGTTTACAGTTTTTAAACATTTTCTTCTTTAGGATATGAAGATACGATACGTGTCACTCGCAAGCGATTCGGGTAGCAGTGATCGTCGACCTTTAATGAAGCAAAACGACGATGACGACCCTAAAGTTTAAGTTCAAAGCTTTTCCTTGTAAAATTAAATCCAAAGTCGAAGTATCTTTGCAATAATATTACTGTCTATTTTATGTGATAAGATGTCTAGAAAGATAGTCATACCTATTTTGAATTGCCCTATAACTTTAAAGTGTCAATATCTAACTCTGTTGTGTTTGAGTTAAGCCCATCATCGATTAGCCCATTTGTATATGACTTTATATTGGCTAACATTGTAACAGTTCGATCTTTTTTTTACCAAACCTAGGTGTGTAAAATTGACGGGACTGGAACTGTTTTCTTATTTTTTTTATTCTTCTCTTTTCTGTGATATCCATTTTGCTCTTTGCATTTTATTGTTGACAGAGTGAAAAAACCGTTGAAAAGCTTTTACTCAAGTCCGGTTTTGTGATATTTTTGTGTGTTTTTACGATTTAATCTGTAGTATAAAGTTGCTTGTTTGGGAAAAAATAAACTTCACGTAAATCGTAATCAAAAGCAAATGTGTTTTTTTGTTTGGCGAGGTGCTTTTTTATGAAGGCGAGATAGAGATTTATTAGTTCTTTTAAAGAAAATGCTTTTTCTAATATCCAGGAGCGGTTCTTGGTGGAGGGCAATGGTCGCAGCTTCCAGTCTGCCCTACAATTGTGATTTATGAATTGAAAATTGAGTTAATTGAAAAGTTCTTGAGAATAGCTAGGTACAACGAGAGTACAAAATACGTACAATCTCACTTTTGCACCATTCAGTGTTATAACTTGGATCGACTTACTGTAGTTTAGCCCTCCCCAGTAACGAAATTCAATCAACTACAGTACCCCTGACAAAACAAATGACCTCAGCTAAACTACAGTATACCTGCTGAAAAATGACACCCTATATTTTTCCCTACTAACCATCATGTCCATCATCTCCGCGCGCGCCAGGCTGTCCATCTTGTCCCTTTTGTCCAGGTCCTCCATTATCTCCAGCAGGTCCTCGAGGTCCCTTACCTAGAAATTAATCAATTTTCAAAGAGTTCTAAAGGCACTAAAGTTTAATTTGTATTTCCAGCCTTACCTCCAGGTGATCCAGGTTGTCCATCATGTCCATTGGGTCCAGGTGGTCCGGGAGGTCCAGCTGGTCCTGGTGGTCCTGGTCGGCCAGGAGCCTTTAAAGCACAAAAATTTCAGCTTTACAACAGTTTTTCTTACATGAGTGAGCTTTCCGGGAGCTCCAGGGCCTCCAGGGTGTCCGGCTTGACCGTTTGGTCCAGGCTGTCCAGCGGGTCCAGGTGGTCCTTGGGCTCCAGGGGCTCCTGAAAGCTCGTTATTTGAGAATCCAAATTCTTGAGAACTATGAGTTAGCACTTACCAGAGTTTCCAGGATGTCCAGCTCCTCCGGGAGCTCCGTTAGGTCCCTTGGGTCCAGCACGTCCCGCGTTTCCAGCAGGTCCTGGCTGACAAGAGTTGGCGCAGCTAAAATTGTTTGCATAAATAGACGAAGAATACTCTCTTGATACTTGTTTTGGTGTTGAACTGGTGGTGGTGCTGGTGGGGCATCGGGTCCGTTCTTTCCAGGTGGTCCTTGGTGTCCATCTTGTCCGGGTGGTCCGTCGGGTCCTGGGGGTCCTGGTGGTCCCTAAAGGTGTTAGCTTTAAAAAACGTTATTTGGGAAATTACAGTAGGCTAAGTCATTGTAATGTTTTAGCCGTAAAAGCAAGCTGTACATTCATCTACAGTACTCTTTATCTTAGGATAAACTATTACAGTAGTATCGTAGGCTTTAAAATACATTACTTGCATTATTCTAAGAGCTACAGGACCCTAAAATACTTTCCATTAAGCTCTACAGGTTCTACAGTAACCCTAGAGCCTTTCGAGATCTACAGTAGCCCTTGAACCTTGCTGGATCTACAGTAATCCTTAAACCTTGCTAGATCTACAGTAACCCTTGAACCTTTCATTAGATCCACAGCAACCCGTGAACTAGCTACAGTAATCCACCTTTCATTTGGCCTACAGTAACCGAATGAATCAGATTATAACTTGCAAAGGACTAGGGTTATCTAAAGATTCAAGTAGCGAGCTTTAAACTTTAAAAGCTTTCGAATCCCCTACCGCAGCGGACACTCCACAGCCACAGCATCCACCACCAGCTTGGCGACGAGCGATGGAACGCTTCTCGCGGATACCGTGCTCAACTTGGATCAAGACCTAGATTTCGAAAATAAACCCAATTCTTTCAATTTCTCTCACATTAGCCTTGGCGAGCTGCTTGAAAACGGATCCAGATCGCGAACGGCAGAAATCGACCTCGTGTTGCATTTGGGTGTGAAGGCGTTGAATGTGCGAGTACCTGAACAAAGATAATTTCTGTTTCTAAAACGAGGGAAAGCTACCGTACTTGTTTTTGTGATAATCTAGTTTAATCTAATTAAGTTTTTTAACTCACATCAGTGGAACACCCAAAACGCAGACAACGACGGCCACCGTGGAAACGGTTACTCCTGAAATCGGATTTGAAATGGTTCAACTATATAATATTATTATATAGTTGACTATATAACATTATTTTATTGATAGATTTAGATATTCAGCTTATAGCCAGCAATCAAGTCAAACTTGAAAACTCACCGAGGAAAGCTATCCTCTTAAGACCGTCAGCCTGCACGGAGATGCGTTTCTCCTCCTCCATCTGCAAATTTCATTGTAGAATTTCATTCATTCTCTCAAGAAAGAATAAAAGAAAGAAAAAACCCCTCTTTTCTGTGTTTAGACAAAAGAAACTACCGTATTCTAGCCGTTTTAGTTCAACTGTAACTACAGCTTTTACCAACAGATGTCAAGATTATGATGCCAAGATGCCAAGATTCCAAGATGCTAAGATGTCAAGATACCAAGATACCAAGATACCAAGATACCAAGATACCAAGATACCAAGATGCCAAGATGCCAAGATACCAAGATTCCAAGATACCAAGATTCCAAGATACCAAGATTCCAAGATGCCAAGATGCCAAGATGTCAAGATACCAAGATTCCAAGATGTCAAGATGCTAAGATGTCAAGATACCAAGATTCCAAGATACCAAGATTCCAAGATGCCAAGATGCCAAGATGCCAAGATGCCAAGATGTCAAGATACCAAGATTCCAAGATGTCAAGATGCTAAGATGTCAAGATACCAAGATTCCAAGATACCAAGAATCCAAGATACCAAGATGCCAAGATGCCAAGATAAACTGTTTTCGAAAAGATAGACTTGATAAGTAATAATGTAACCTTAAACTAACGATGTTCTAAAGCTTTGTTCAATATTTTGAACAAAAGAACAAAAGAGGATTACGGTAGATTATGGTAATTCGTTTCTTTCCTCAAAGACAAGGATTACAGTAGATTCTTGAGATTCCGTAGTCTAGTAGTGGCCTAGTAGTAGCCTAGTAGTAGCCTAGTAGTAGCCTAGTAGTAGCCTAGTAGTAGCCTAGTAGTAGCCTAGTAGTAGCCTAGTAGTAGCCTAGTAGTAGCCTAGTAGTAGCCTAGTAGTAGTCTAGTAGTAGTCTAGTAGTAGACTAGTAGTAGTCTAGTAGTAGACTAGTAGTAGACTAGTAGTAGACTAGTAGTAGACTAGTAGTAGACTAGTAGTAGCCTAGTAGTAGCCTAGTAGTAGCCTAGTAGTAGTCTAGATTACAATAGATTATCGTTTCTTGCCCCCAAAAAAGACGAATTACGCTAGCTTTTCCAACACTCCGATTACAGTACATCTTTCTAAGCAAATCTTTTATAAAACTCTTTAGAGACACATTGGGGTTACGGTAGCGCTTTCCATCTTTTAGAAAACACTTTAAATAAAAGGAAAATAGTCTAGTGTAAGTCATAACAGAAAGAGATAATCTTGAAATGTTGAAAACTTGAATCTTGACGAATCTTGACAATAGTTCAAGTCTCCTCAGCTCTTTATATCCCAATCAGTGCCCTAAAAATGGCAAGGTCATGAGCAAGTTTAAATTTAAGAGCGGGCAAAAAAAAATCACTTCCCGAAAATGAGAACAACAAATTTGGGAAAGGGGGTAGAGTTTGGAGAGTTTGGATTAAGAGAAACGATAAAAAATGCCCGCTCAGTAGTAGCTATCGTTGAACTCCGTTTTTCTCGGCTTTATACCTGCAACGTCAAGGTTATCAGCATGTTTTTTAAGTGAATCCCTTTTTTTTTTCTCGCGGAGGATATCGGAGGATTGGAGATACCTTTGCCGAGAGTCCGGGGGCGTTATTCTCTCGAAATTTTTTCCGCAAAACTGTTTTCCCTGTTCTCTTTAAGCGCTTTTCACATCGAATTCCTGAAAAAAAAAACGCCCAAATGGCTATCACTGAGTAACCTTTCTTTTTATCCTTTTTTTCCCTATTGCAGCTAAATTCAGGGTCATCCTCGCCGAATGGCTATTCCAATTTCTTTCCATTTCTTTCCATTTCTTTTCCATTTCTTTTCAACTATTTTCTTTATCGATAATCGAGCATTTCTCTCTTCTCCCGGCCAATTTGGAAGGACTAATTTGGAGAATTTTAAGGATAAAAATCCAATTCACAAAAAGTAAAATCTTAAGTTTGAGAACCGAAAATTGAAACGAATTTTATTGGGTTGATGCATAATTATCCGGACTTCTTTTTGCGTGCTTGTATCTTTTTTGTTTTGAAAGCTTTTTGTCTATTTCTTTTTTTTAAATATTCGTTATTCTTTAGTGAACAAAATGCGTGTCGACAATCATATCCATCTTCGCCATATCATGCTCTACCACTTCGAAAAGGGATGGTCTGCCGCAGAGTCGTTTCGCGATCTCAAAGAACTGGAGAAGCCCCAACGGACTACCACGTCAATCGATCGCTCAAAAATTGGCAAACAAATAAGATCTACAACGATTTGGATGACTTGATAGACGATGTTAAAGCGTGGATTGCCTGGATTGCCATTGCAATAGTTCACATCTCTTAAATCTAGAAACTAGATCGACTTGTTTCCCGCAGCAGTATTGCCAGCAGTCTACCATCACTCAGGTAAAAGCAAACTATAGGGTGACCAAGAATTACCGCAACACACAAAATATGCAACCCATGGGTGCCCTATGTCTCACTGACCCCCAGAAGTGGCAGCGCGCCTCCATCAGTGCCGCTCATCTCTCAGGAAATCCTTTCTTCCTCGAATTGTGACAGGAGATGAGAAATGGGTTTTATCTGTGAACTTTCAGAGGAAGTGGCAATGGGTGGGGCCAGGCGAGAAACCCGAAAGTGACCCTAAGCCCGATTTGCATCAGAAGAAGTTTATGCTCTGCGTTTTCTGGGATATGGGGGGAGTGGTGTACTGAGAGTTGCTGGATAGCAAGACGACCGTTAATGCAATCAAATAAAGTTGGGAAAGGTGAATGAATCCCTGAAGAAGAATAGGCCCTCCAAGTCAAAGATCGTTCTCATCCACGACGACGCGCGCCCTCATATTGCAAAACTGACTCGCTCTAAAATAAATAGCCTTGTTTGGGAGCTTTTGTCGCATCCCCATACAGTTCGGACCTCGTCCCTTTTGATTACTATTTATTCCGGATCATGAGTAGTGAGCTTGCGGGAGAACACTTCGATTCGGAAGAAGCAGTCAAAAATTGGCTATAAGCCTCATTTTTGATTCTCTACAACTTTTCTATTGACACCAAAATGGGTTTCTTTTGAAGAAATTGGGACAGCTTCAGTCCTCCATTTTTGAGTCTCACACTTGTCTCACACACAAACGAAAATCCTACCACGAAAGAGGAGTCTGCAAATTGCCTGTAAAATGGGCAGAAGTCGTCAATAATAATGCAAATTATTTCGAATAAATTTATGGTTGTTTATGTTGAATAAATTTTAGTTTAAAGTCCCGCAGTTTTCAATGCACCAACACAATATATATAAAGGGACTAAGACGTCTGTCTGTCTGGCTGTCTGGCTGTCTGTCCGTCTGTCCGTCTGTCCGTCTGTCCGTCTGTCCGTCTGTCCGTCTGTGCGTGCTACTCTTCAGCCCCCAGAGGACCGTGTGCAATGATTTTTGCGCACTTGGATAGAGAATTGCATGTAGTTGTGCAACGTGCTTTTGGATTTTTTTAAAAAGCACAATTCAAGTCGCACAGGGAGGTCGAACCCGAATTGTATGGGCGATAGACCGGCGCGCTATCTACTGCTCTACGGAGACAAAAGCCGTCTGTCCCCAAAACATCCAGAAAAACCAGCCGTTAGGCGGATTTCTCGGCTGGTTTATTATATACGTCTGAAGGATGAGGATCACCATTTTCAAATCGCTGATCTTCCAAACAGGCTTAGAAGTCAGCCTTCTTCGACCCTCTCTTTTATTGATCATCTTGAATTTGACTTGTGCAGATTTCTGTTCTTGATTGATTTCTTGATTTCTTGATTGTTCTTGTTCTTAATTTCTGTTTAAGCTTTAGTTATTAGAGTTGAGATTTCATCATTTGTGAGTACATTTTTGGAATTGGTCCAGAAATCGAAATTGAATCAACCCGAGCATTCTATCACTAAACCAAAAATGCGCTGACTTCTTTATAGATTTGAATGATTTGAATCAATACGTCTATTTTATGGTTTTGAACCAGACGGTTTTGAACCAGACGGTTTTGAACCAGACGGTTTTGAACCAGACGGTTTTGAACCAGACGGCTTTGAACCAGACGGTTTTGAACCCCAAAGTCAGTCTTGGTTTACCTAAACAAGTTTCTTGAAGCTGTAAATGCAAAAATTTCACAAGAATTCTTCGATTTGTTTAAAGATTTATAGTCAAAAATATTGTCAAGGATATTTTTGAATAAAACAATTCAAAATAGAAAGGACTAGTGCCAGAGATCACATTCATTCAGTCAAGCATCATTCAATCATCAAAAAGAAAACTCAATGGTTGACTTTACAAATCAAATCTAGATTACAGATCTTTTTCTTTTGCTTGATGATGGCTCATTCTCGATGTTGTCAATTTCCGGTGATTGTGGTTCTTCTTTTACGGATGGATTCATGCGTTTTTGGTTTTTTGGTGTTTTGTTTTGTGATCCGTTTAGCCTTTCACTGATCTCATTGTTTGATCTGATTGTTTTATTTTGATCTTCTCTCATCACATCACTCAATTCCTCGTTTTCTTGAGCTTTCTCCAAGAATTTCTTCAGATTCATCCGAAAATCTCGAGTTCCAATCGAGTTTTTCTGGAAAAGGTTTGTTTTAATTTCATTTAATTTCATTTAATTAGACTGCTTTATGTCAAAATGTATGCAAAATAGAAAATATTGGGTTGGGGAGAATGAGTCGGCGCCGAAAATCAAAAAAATGTCTAAAACTTCTATTCGACTTCGACAAATAATATGCGTTTGATATCAGTAGAATGGTTAACTAATTCTCTACAAAATCACATTTAAAAGAAAATTCAAACAGCGCCTCCGCTCAAGAAAAAGCCATTTTTTCACAAAAACTACAAACTGTGATCTAGAAAAAACCATTGGTGGGATCTTCCTGCAAATTTGGCAACTTAAGTAATTGAATGTGCTCTATCTTTTTTATATAAACACCAAAGAAGGTTTATGTGAAAGAAACTGTTCAAATGATGAGTCGGACTCTTTGCCATTTTAACCAGCTGCGTTTGGAAGTTCATAAACTCCACGAAAGAAAAGCTTTGTGGAATCTCTCAAAAGTGATTTTGTAGAGAAATAGTGGATCCTTTTGATGAAACCAAACGTATGTTTAAAGAAGGCTTTATGTGTGCAAAAAGTCCCTTTAAAGTTCGGCGCCGACTCATTCTCCCCAACCCAATAGATTCAGTAAAGAGTTGTAACTACTTTTGACTCTACTTTAGTGACAAAATATTGGTTTATCCAGTTATGAATGCGCGTTTTTACTATTTTGTAAATTTCTCAAGCTATCGAACAGATGTATCTGAGTGTTATATATCATTCGAAAGCTGAAGATCTCCTCTACATTTTGGAATAAAAAAAGTTTTTGAATTCATTCAACTTTTTGGGGAAATTCACTGCACAAAGGGAGAGGTGGTTTTCGAAAAAAAAAAAAAACCCCATTTCAGCTTAGCGATTCCTCAAGTTTTATGGTGTAAAATAATCGCCCAGAAAAGAAAACAAAAGTAAAGATGCTCTGAAATTGTTATAATTTTAAAAAAAAAGTTGTATTGATATATCTATTGGCCAAACATCAAACGGTTAACTCAATTTGAGCAGCGCTAAAACTTGATCCAAAGGCACCCTTCCACTTTTTGGCCACCTCTTCTTCTTTGCAGTCAATTTGCCCAAAAGCTGAGCAAATTCAAAAACTTTTTATATCAAAATGTAGAGGAGATCTTCAACTTTCGAATAATACTCATAGATATCTTTTTCTTGATTTCTGTATCTTGAGAAATTTACAAAATAGTAAAAACGCGCATTTTATAAATGGACAACCCAATAATTGACTTTTAATGGCTAAAGTATTGTAATTTGCTGAATAATAGAGTAATCTTTGAAGTTTCTTTTACTGTGTCTTTTTCTCATTTATGTATAAGATAATATAGTTCTTGAAAATTCGACCTTCACTTGTAAATCAAGTCGATCATCGTTTAAGGCCACTGATAAACGTAGAATCTGAAATTTCATTATTTATTTACATTCAAGCGGTAATTAAAAAATGGATATCATTTGTAACTTTGTAGCTTTGTAGCTTTGTAGCTTTGTAACTTTGTAACTTTGTAGCTTTGTAACTTTGTAACTTTGTAACTTTGTAACTTTGTAACTTTGTAACTTTGTAACTTTGTAACTTTGTAAAAAATTTTCTAAAATCTTGTTATCAGTCGATGATCCAGTAAAGAGCTGTAACTACTTTGTAACGGTGAGATATAATGCCCCCTGGTGGCACCCAGGCACATCTCCGTGTAGCTCAGTGGTAGAGCGCTCGCCCAGCTAGCCGGAGGTCGCCGGTTCGAGCCCGGCGCCGACCAACTGTTTAGACCGGCAGACATGCTTTCTCAATGCAGACATGCTTTTTGGCAACCCAATCTCTTTAGCGCATTCAATCCTTCAACTAATGAATAAGAGTGACCGTTGCTTGGAGTGACTCTCGGGCTCTTGTGTACTTCACGTAGAGATTCTCCTCTCGCCGAATCTTCGTGATTCTAAATTGAAACATGGTAATCAAGTAAGATAATTGAAAGGTTTTTTGAAAATTAAATCGTAGCTTATATCGTTAAACCCTCTCTCACTTTGTTGCCGATTTACTCTTCTTTTCCTGCTCGATCTCGCCCACATTCTCATCGCAATGCACCAAGAGTGTGTGAAGCTGGAAAAGAAAGTTAGACAACTTTTTGAATATCTATTTAGGTCAAATATTTTTTTTCAGCCATGTAAACGCACTCTTTCCTGAATCCTTCATTTTTAAAAAAGCAACAGATTGGTCTGAAGGAAGAAGAAGAGAAAGAGGAAGAAGAAGAAGGAGAAGAAGAAGGAGGAGAAGAAGAAGGAGGAGGAGAAGAAGAAGGAGGAGAAGAAGAAGGAGGAGAAGAAGAAGAAGAAGAGGAAGAAGAAGAGGAAGAAGAAGAGGAAGAAGAAGAAGGAGAAGAAGAAGAAGGAGAAGAAGAAGAAGAAGAAGAAGAAGAAGAAGAAGAAGAGGAAGGAGAAGAAGAAGAAGAAAAAGAGGAAGAAGAAGAGGAAGAAGAAGAAGAAATGATTCAGTGCATTAGAAAGGATATGTTTCTACTTTTTGCACAAAGTACATTAGGTGTTTTCTACCAAAATCGTCTAGCAGTAGACAGTCTTTACATTTGACCGCCAAATCTCAAGGAAAAGGATGAGCAAAAGAAGGAAATGATAAGGGGATTTAGCTCTGGGAAATGTCTAGGTCGTTAATTAATTTCTATTTTGTAAAATTCGATAAGAATTGAGTTTAAAATATTACCATTTTATCATAATATGAATAAAATACTTTTCAGAACTCCAGAACTTCAGAACTTCAGAACTCCAGAACTCTAGAACTCCAGAACTTCAGAACTCCAGAACTCTAGAACTCTAGAACTCCAGAACTTCAGAACTTCAGAACTCCAGAACTCTAGAACTCCAGAACTTCAGAACTCCAGAACTTCAGAACTTCAGAACTAACCTCTCCTTTCAGAAGTCGACTCAATGATTCGATCGATTTCCATTTCCCCATATCATTCTTGAGAACTTTTGCGTTATCCAATAACTAAGGCTTTTATTTATGAAAGATTTGTAATTATCGAGTTTATTAGTGAAAAATCGGACCAAAACCAGTGTACGTACACTTTTACAATCCTTTTCTACAAAAGTAGACTTGAATAAATAGTAGAAATAAGTAGACGGCTAAACCAAAAATGGCCAAAATCGATTGGCCAACGACAAGTTGACCAAGTTTTTCATACAATTTTTGCATAGACTCTTTCAAAAGCCTTACCAACTTGATTGAAATCTCAAAACCATCATAAAACATAGTCAATGTAGTAGAGATCTTTTCCTGAAATTTGAAATAACACATGACAATTTGACATTCAAAGAAAACTCGATCCGATGAGATCAATCCGATCCGAATTGTTAGATCAATCCTCAATCTCATCTCTAGTACAAAGATTTCTAACACTAACTTATTAAATGCTTACCATAGATACGGTAATAGTACCCCACCGCCATAATGATGATGCGAAGTGTTGCGTAGTCTAGCTTTGAACGAGTTTTTCTCGACACTGGTTTATGCTAAAATGCTCGCTTAGGTATCAAAAAATAGCTGAAATTCAGGGCTATTTTTTGATACTAAAGACGCATTTTTTGAAAGTGCGGGCGCTTTGAAAAAAACGAAATACTAAAAAACTTTTGCGACTACGCGACTGTACGAGGGCGGTGGGGTACTATTACAGTATTTACGGTAAGTTTAAGATCGTTTTGTTCTTACCTTTGCTACGCCTACATCTGTGTGAATTTGCATCATCTTTTGCAAAATCTCTGTACATGTGACTAAACGTGTGACAATGTGAGTGAAGATTTCGTCCCCTGAAATAACAAAATAGCAAGTAATAAAGAAAGATTGCTGGAGAAGGGATTGAACTAAACCTGGCAGATCTTTGCCTTTCCCTTTGGACAATTGCTCTAACTACTGAGAAGGGATTGAATCAAACCTTTGTCTTTCCTTTTCCCTTTCGGACAATTGCTCTAACCACTGAGCTATTTGATAGCTTTTTCACAGTGAAGAAAGAGGGAATACAAGGAAGAAGAAAGAGGGGATACAAGGAAGAAGAAAGAGGGGATATAAAGAAGAAGAAAGAGGGGATATAAGGAAGAAGAAAGAGGGAATACAAGGAAGAAGAAAGAGGGGATACAAGGAAGAAGAAAGAGGGGATATAAAGAAGAAGAAAGAGGGGATATAAGGAAGAAGAAAGAGGGAATACAAGGAAGAAGAAAGAGGGGATACAAGGAAGAAGAAAGAGGGGATATAAGGAAGAAGAAAGAGGGGATACAATGAAGAAGAAAGAGGGGATACAATGAAGAAGAAAGAGGGAATACAAGGAAGAATCTCGAAGCACTTGGATACTAGCTAAGAAATCCAACTACTACTTAATCTCTAAACTTGCAAGCTTACATTGATCTTTCTCGACAAACTCCGACATATGAAAAACGACTTCTTTAATAGCCAGCATACTCTAGAATTTGAATTAATTCTTGATTTGTAAAAGCTTTATTCAAATCACTAACCTTTTCTAGTATTAAAATTAAAAATTCAATGAATGCGCTGCCAAATTCTTTGCTCACGCATTTTGGGTCCTCATCAGAAGGCTCCTGAAATTTGAAATTGAAAATTAAATAGTACTATTTTAAATAGTACCATGAATGTAATGAATCTCTGAACGCTCTCACCTCTCCCATGTATCTCGAATACAAAGCATCTGCAATTGTCAAGATCCTTTTGTAGATCGATGTAATTGCCGCATTCGCTTGCACTTGCAATGATGTGTCAGCAAAAGCATTCAGAGAATCTCGAAGCACTTGGATACTAGCTAAGAAAAAGTTCTTGTCCTGTAAACATAAATCATTACCGAATTCATTTTGCTCAAGAATATCCCAATAGGTTTTAACGAAAATGTGCGAGGCTCGCGTTGAGGAACGATTGGCAGCCAGGAGAAGTGAGTTCACTAACTGCAAAAGTTTTTGTTAGCGATGAAATTTTGTTTGATGTATTGTTGCTTTTGTTTGATCACTAAATTCTTGCCAGGTTATTGTAACTGAATGAATCATGACTTAATTTAAAAGGTCTTTCATTAACAAAGGCCTTAGGGCCTTGAGTTTATTGGGTTACGGTTGCTGGGCTGGATTACGGTATCTAGATTGAGTTACAGTAGCTGGATTGAGTTCCGGTAGCTGGATTAGGTTACGGTATCTAGATTGGGCTACGGTAGCTGGATTAGCTTGTGGTACTTAGATTGGTTACGGAAGCTGGATTAGGTTACGGTATCTAGGTTGAGTTACCGTAGCTAGATTGAGTTACCGTACCTAGATTGAGTTACAATAGCTAGATTAGGTTACGGTATCTAGATTGGGCTACGGTAGCTGGGTTAGGTTACCGTATCTAGATTGGGTTACGGTAGATATCAAATAAATTCAGGAAGAGATGCCAAACCTTTGTGATGATTTTCGCCTGTTTCTCCGACTCGATTTCCCGCTTTTTTGGTGTCTCAGCGTTCTCATCTTCGATCACCTAGAGCATTGAATGAAATTTTAGCTTTTTCAATGATACCAATCCGAAATAAAGTCGATTTAATAGAAAAACTCCATGCCGACTCAACGCCCCAGCTTCACCACCACCAGTTCGATCGTCTTTCCCTAAAAAAATCAACAAGAATTGGCGAGTGAACAACGGTATTTTTAGATTTTTAGCTTATAAATGAATTTGAAAAGCTTATAACTGAATTTGAGACGCTTATAAATGAATTTGAAAAGCTTATAAATGAATTTGAAAAGCAGACAAACAACTTACACATTAGCACAACGTATTCAAGGATTTTCCTTTGATACTTCAAAAGAGAATATCGTACAATGTTGGAATAAACTTCAAGAGCTTCAGTTTTTGTCTTTGAGATCATCGGAATCTCTTGAGTCCAAGCCGGTGAATCAACCTCGTCACCGATGTAAATCTCGAGAAAATGTCTAAAGATGAAGATTACTGTATCAGACATGATCAATGATTCGGTTGGGTTAAGGTATCTGACTGGATTACGGTATTCATTGACTTTCTGACACTAATTTAAAACTAATAAACGGTACTTAGCAACATTGACGAGATGGCTATGCCGGAGAACATTTGAATGTAATGGAAGCTCTCCTTTCCGTAGCTCTTCACTCCATTTTAATGAGCTCTTGATTGTCCAATTGAGAAGTTCTCCTTTGATCTCCCAGAGTTTATCGTTTTCGTCCCTAAATCGAGCCTTTTATAGAAATTTGATCTTTTTCACAAGGATCTTTTCCTTTTTTATTTAATCTGCAGCACTCTGTATTTAAAATCTAAGCTAACCAGGAAAGCCACACAATCTAAGCCCTGCCCCTTTTTGCTAATAGCTACGACGTACAGACGGACAGACGTCTCTTCTGCTTTATGGTTGTTTAAGAAGTTGATAACAACAAAGAGAACACAGAAAGTTATTTAGCTAAGTTTTCTGTGGAAAGTTGAAAAATTAGTGATTGTTAGTAATTGTTAAAATAAAGTGAAATTAAGGTGCAAAGAGTGAAAATAAGCTAATGCAGGTCGAACCCGAGTAAAAATACAAGTGCACTTCCGATTTCGTCACGGTGACTACCGTAAATACTGTAATTGTACCCCACCGCCATAATGACGGTGCGGAGTGTTGCGTAGTCTAGCTTTGAACGAGTTTTTCTCGACACTGGTTTATGCTACAATGCGCGCTTAGGTATCAAAAAATAGCTGAAATTCAGGGCTATTTTTTGAAAGTACGAGCGCTATGAAAAAAACGAAATACTAAAAAACTTTTGCGACTACGCGACTGTACGAGGGGGGTGGGGTACTATTACAGTATTTACGGTATGTGTTAACCTAACGGCGGGTCTTTTCCGCTAAATATTTCGGGTTTCTGAACATTGTCACCATGGCGCAATCGGGAGCGCGCTTGTCTACGGCTTACACCCCTGGTGCTAAGAGGAGGGTGCGACTCCTCTTAGTGCCTGCTCAAGCTTGACTTTTGAGGCAGGAGAGGCAATTTCTGGAAATTTTGCCAGCAATTGTCTCATTGGCGTGATTCGCTCTTCCTAAAGTTTTCGATTATCGCCGCGGCGCAGTCGGGAGCGCGCTTGTCTACGGGGCTCACACCCCTGGCACTAAGAGGAGGGTTCGGTTCCTCTGCCTGCTCAAGCTTGACTTTTGCTTTTAAATGCCACAACTATATTATACGTAAGACTTTTTGAAAGATTTCAGTTTTTAGCGCAAAAAAGTGGCTAAGAAAAAGCCCTTTTAGACGGACAGACAGACAGAAACTCCTCTTTTAGATATAGTAGATCTTTTCACACAAACATTTTAAGAAGTCGATCCAAGAGCTGAGAAATCGTACGTCCGGAGACATAAATATCAACCTGAAATTCATTTGGTTTACTTTATTGGTGTACTTTGTGCTGTACTTTGTGCAAAATTGTAAATCCATTCTTTCTGGCCTCATTTTTCTTATGGTATCAAATGGCTATTGTAAGAAAAGTTAGAATTAAGTGCACTAGAGAGGCAAATTAGTTAAGAAGCTGATATACTGTGTTACTACTTTATTGTATTCGATGTGTAAATGCAAATTGGGTTGTTAGATAATAGCTAATAGCTTTTAGAAGTAACCTCTTGAAGATTCAATGGCATCAATTTTGAGTCTCCATTTCCCGTTTGTACTCCATTTCCATTCACAGCTTTCTCTTGCTTCTGTCGAATCGTTTTTTCGTTCAAAACCTAATTGTGAGATTTTAAAAGAAAGAAAAGAAAAGTCAAACAACCTCTAATAGCTCTTTTCTTTGGCGAATGATCCCAATTAAACGATCCAACTCCATTTCTGATGAGCTAAATTTTTAGCTTACCTTTTAGATCTTAGAACTTGCCTAATTGTAAGAACATTTAGATAATAGATAACTTCTAAACTATAGTGAGTAATAGATAACTTCTAAAGTATCGTGAGCAATAGATAACTTCTAAACTATAGTAAGCAATAGGTAACTTCTAAACTATAGTAAGCAATAGATAACTTCTAAACTATCGTGAGCTTACTGTAGAAATACTTATTTATTCTATTCATTATTTATTTATCAGTGTTTTTCTAAAATCATTTTCCGTTATAGATCAAATGAATTCCAGGCTTTACTGCAAGTCTGGCTTACAAAAAGTACATAAAAGTCAGAACTTACAGCCCTGATCATGGCTTTGATTTGTGAAAATTGAAAATATCTTTATGAAAAATAAAAAGTTTATCAAGTGGGGGGGATTGAACTCACTACAGAAATCCGATCCATTCCCTAAAACTAGCAAACTAGCCGCTATATCACGAACGCCGTTGAAAGACGACGATCGTGATGTACTCAGCTCAAGAGTGTATAGCGTGACTCAGCTCAAGAGTGTATAGCAAAAACTTTGATGCCATAAATCTCGGGTTTTAGAGCTAGTCAGCAAATTTTGCTTACAGATTCGAATTCTGCGTTCGATTTTCTATTGAATGGGCTCGATTTTGTTTTGAAAACTAGTACTCTAAATTTTTAACTTACCTTTCCAGACTTAGATCTTGCCTAATTGTAAGAACATTACTACAGTTAATACTGTTAAAATACAGTTGAAACATTTCTGCCTCTATTACAAGATTTCTATCGTAACTCTCAAAGCTATTCAGCAAAAAAAGTGTACTCGAAAGTAGATTCAGATTACGAGATAGTACAGTCCACGTTTCTTACTCGATATCCGAATTGATCCGTCGCCAGAGAAACTCAAGCAGCGCATCGTAAACGGCAAGCATTTGATGAGCAAAGAGAAGATTTCCTCGTCCTTCTTGCGTTGTTGGAGTCCATTCCGTTAATTTATCGAGCTCTGATTGGATACTTTGAAATGTATACCAAAAATTTGTTTACCCATTTCATGAATATCCCTTTCTATAGCAATATTGACCCATTTCAAGAGAAGACTCTCCGCTTTTTGCACCAACAAATCACCGCCACTGTGTGATTGGGTGAAGCCGGCTTGAATTGAGGAAATCGAGGCACAAGTCAGACTTTCGATAGCCTAAAATCGGTTTTGAAATGAAGAAATGAAGAAATGATTTAAAATCTCTGTTTTACTATTAATTTCAAAGCTGACTCCAAAGCTGGCTTCAAAGCTTTCAAAGATACAAAAAGCTGACTTCAAAGCTTTCAAAGATGTAAAAAGCTGGTTCTCTTACAAATGAGCAGAAACTTAGCCTAAATTTAGATCGATTTCGTGGATTTATCCACCAGTTAGACTGTCCAAAAAGTCTTTTAAGAACATGAATCAAAAGACATTAATCGTAGAAGACTCTCTGTTGTTGTTAACTCTGTTAACTCACAAATTTCCAAACAGCAAAGGTTGAATGGACAATTGATCTAATGATCTAATGACAACTGATCTAATGATCCAATTTGAAATTAATAGTAAAACAGAAATTTGATAAGATAACTGTAAACTTTAAATACTGCACCTGAATCAATTGTGGAAACGCTTCTCGAACCGTTGTCATTGTCCTTGATGTGAGAATCATTTCCTTTGTTGACTAAATTAAAAACATATAATTATATAATTAATAGAATTTAAGTAAAACTGTTTTTTTTACCTGAATTACTTAGGTTAACAGAATTGTAACGTAATTTGTCTAAACGAACCCATTGTGGAAGGGTGTTCGCATGGGAAAGCAACAACTCCAGACATGGTCCACTGATTTGAATATTTCGATGGACAACCTAGAAATCATAAATTGTTGCGAAGATCAAAATCAAAAAAGCCTTTAATCTTCTCTCTTTAACCCGAAAGATCTTGCTTCAACTCGAATTTTGAAAGCCTGGGGGTGGGATGCGATGCGCAACAAAATGCGACCTTTTTTTTGCGCACCTGGACATCTGCGCACCTTTTTTTGCTGCAAAAGGCCTTAGGAAAGGTCGTAGAGCTTCAAAAATGTTTTCATAGAACGGAATCATATGCGTAGATTCCGAATTTCGACAAATCAGATCTCGCTGACACGTCAAATTTGGGCTAAAAGGCAAAAACTACGCAACTTAACGCTTTTCCGCAGCTTTTGCCTTTTAGCCCAAATTTGACGTGTCAGCGAGTTCTGATTTGTCGAAATTCGGAATCTACACATACGATTCCCTTCTATGAAAACATTTTTGAAGCTCTACGACCTTTCCTAAGACCTTTTCCAGTAAAAAAAAGGTGCGCAAAAAAAGGTCGCATTTGTCCCACCCCCGAAAGCTTTTGCTAAAAGTTGACATTCTGTTTTTCGAAATCGTGACTCTTTTTCTCGGATTACTGTAAATGCATTTCGTCATTTTCATTTTTTTTGGTCATCATTTTTTACGGGAGGTAGTCAAATGAGCGCCAAAAATTGAGCGCCAATCATTTCAGCGCCAATCATTTCAGCGCCAATCATTTCAGCGCCAATCATTTCAGCGCCAATCATTTTAGCGCGCGTTCATTTCAGCGCGCGTTCATTTCAGCGCCGCACCAAAAATGACTGGAAAACATTCATTTCAGCGCCGAATCAGCCCATTCTGTATATGCATGTTATTTTTGCATTTTCTGCATGATCTCAAAGTTTTTACTGTATGTTTTTATTCAACTAGTTAACACGCAATAACAAAAACAATTGCAATCGCAATCATCTAAAGATAAAAATAATTCTTGGCAGCAAAATAAACCCAAATAAATCATGAACAAAACGTTACTTTGACTCAGAGTGTTCCTTTGTCTCGCCGCTTCTTGCGCAGTTCACGAGCCTAAGCAAAGAACTATGTTAACTGTAAGCAAATTGTAAACGAAAACGGCAAGAAACGGTGAAAAAGCATGCTATTGGGGGAAAATATCATACAACTAGCAAATTTACACATTTTCATCAAAAAAACCTTAAATACGAGCTAATCTAACAATTTTTTCCGCGCATTTGGTGCCTACTGCCGTGCCCTAGGTCAAATGAGTGAAAAAAGTGTAAAAACAGAAGCAAAACCCTAAAAAACATGCAAAAGCAGCGTAGAAAGCAAAAATATTAAAATTTAGTCGCGCTGAAATGAACGTTTTCCAGTCATTTTTAGCCCGGCGCTTAAATGAACGTTTTTAGGCCTTTTTAATTTGGCGCTCAAATGATTGTTTTCCAGTCATTTTTGGCACGGCGCTCAAATGAGTGGCGCTGAAATAAGCGTGAGCCAAATCGTTGGCGCTGAAATGATTGGCGCTCAATTTTTGGCGCTCATTTGACTACCTCCCTTTTTTACCACTAAACCTTTTTTGATAAGTTTTTGTTTCTTTTGAACACTTTCACGGGGGTGGCTACTTTGCGCCAGATTTTTTTACGCAACTGGCTCATTTGCGCTCTAACTTTCTTCTAAGTGGGTCAATTTTTATGATTTTGTTGTCATTTTGTTACAATTGTTGAGATCTACAAAATGACACCAAAATCATAAAAATTGGCCCACTTAGAAGAAAGTTATGGCGAGTTGCGCAAAAGACCTAGTTGTGCAAATGATCCAGTTGCACAAAAAATTTGGCGCAAAGTAGCCGTAGTAGTAGTTCTTATAGATCTTGAAGAAAAGAATAGCCTCTCCAGTTACTCACCTCAGTGATCCCAGAATAAAGTGCGGCTCTTGTTTGAGCTGGCTGAGCTAGACATCGTTTCAAAACACCTAAATTTTCGAATTACTCTACTGTACTAATGCATAAAGGATTAAGAGATAATTTGTTAATTCTCACCGACAATCTCGAGCCCGAGTGCCTCATCGACCCCACGAGTCAATCCCATCTTTGCCAGACTCTAGAAAAGGATAACTGTGAAAGATCACAAAATTTCCCCAACCAACCTGTGAGCTAAAAGTAGCAAACGATTGGGACATTCCGCCTTGTGACAAAGTGACATTCCGTCGATTGCTGATTGATTGAAGAAGTGAGAGAAGAAGGGGAACTGCTGAAGCGACTGAGGTTGAATTCAGCAAATCTCGCTGGAATTCTTTGGTAGCTAAATACTTTTTGTGGGCAAACTTTTAGAGCAGCGAAGAGGGATTGTCGTAGTTGGGATCGTTGATTGATAATGGGTAGAAGGGTGCGGATGAGTGAGACAGCGATGTCACGACGCATTCGACAAACCTGTGATTCGAGTATTTCGCTGTTCAGAAAGTCGAAAAGTACCGTAATCTTTCGTAGCTACCGTAGTCTTTTGAAAAGGTTACAGTACTCTTCGAAAGTTGGCATTTTTTAGAAAACGAGTATTAGAAAGGAATACTTCTACCGCAAGTTTACGATACTTTTCGAGAGTTGACACGTTTTAAAAAACGAGAAAAACAAGGGAACACTTTCTAGGATACTGTATTATTCTCACTACACAAACAAGCCTAATATTTAAGATACTGTAGCTAAACGATCTCGTATTACTGTAACCAGGTCAATTCTTAACCTCACTAAGAATTTCGGGATTTTACCTTGAACTTCATCTACCGTAAATACTGTAATTGTACCCCACCGCCATAATGACGGTGCGGAGTGTTGCGTAGTCTAGCTTTGAACGAGTTTTTCTCGACACTGGTTTATGCTACAATGCTCGCTTAGGTATCAAAAAATAGCTGAAATTCAGGGCTATTTTTGATACCAAAGATGCATTTTTTGAAAGTACGGGTGCTTTGAAAAAAAACGAAATACTAAAAACCTGTGCGACTACGCCACTGTACGAGAGGGGGGTGGGGTACTATTACAGTATTTACGGGGGTAGTTGTAAATCTAGATCTATAGACAATAAACGTTTATTGGATTTAGATTGTGATCGAAAAAGTCACGTGCACACTCATCATCATCACCCCATAATGACGGTGCGGAGTGTTGCGTAGTCTAGCTTTGAACGAGTTTTTCTCGACACTGGTTTATGCTACAATGCTCGCTTAGGTATCAAAAAATAGCTGAAATTCAGGGCTATTTTTGATACCAAAGACACATTTTTTGAAAGTACGGGTGCTTTGAAAAAAAACGAAATACTAAAAAACTTTTGCGACTACGCGACTGTACGAGAGGGGTACTATTACAGTATTTACGGTAACTCACCCAATCAAAAATCCCCTCGATTTGCTTGTAATTGTTTAAAACCTCGATTGTGCAATTGTGAACGACTTCAACAAGAACATCTAAACAAGCAAACAAAATATAATTAATTTTATTTATAGCTTACCGATAAGCACAATTGCAGCGCTAACATTGATTGAATTTGAGTGAATGGCGATCGTGGAAACGAGTGGAAGTAAAAGAGTCGAGAGATTGTTTCCTGAGCGACCGATTGCTTCTGTAATTCTCCGCTTTTCAAAGTGCACTTTGTGCTCAAAATACATCCTTTCTAATGCACTTAAATCTTCATAAGTGAATGATTGAGTGCACCAGAAAGGGTGTGTTTACATTACGATCCCATACCAGAAAGTAGAGTCGAAGCCAAGGTCCATAGATCAGGTACACTGGCTGCTCGACCGTCACACACGAGCACCTATAAAGACTAAGGATATACGGTAGGGTCATAAAAATACAGTAAGCCTTAGTTATTCAATCTACCCTAACCTTACCCTACACCCTAGTTTTTATCCAATCTATCTAAATCAAATAAAAAGTATTGAACAATATATTGGACAAAGCATAAAGGTAAGATTACAGTAAAATGGATTGTAGCAATAAAATGGATTTCATAAAATGCGAAACAGTTGATAAGTGATTCTGGACAATCAATAAGACCCTTTGGCCCTTTGGAGGCAGTAGAATGCATGTCGGTGTAGCTCACTAGTAAGCGAGAGGTCGCAGGTTCGATCCCGGCCCTAACTCATCTGCTTCAAGGAGAACTAGTATATAAAGGCTTATGGAATTACCAAACTATGAATACTATGATAGTAAAATTTATCTGCTAGTTATGTAGACTAACCTTTTGGTTTTGAGCTGTATCAAAGAGGGAATAGCACAAAGAAATGGCTCCTGGTGAGAGAAGAGTCCAATTCTCACGATCATTCATCCGTGTAGAGAGGTTTTTCATCTGCAAACAGATAAAGTTACTATATAGCGTTTAAAAGCTAGTGAAATATGTACAACAACAAATATCTCTAAGTTTCCTTAACCATTAAACACTTGGTTACCTGAAGTTTCGCCTCATCGGCGATTGAGGCACCGATCGCCAACTTTAGCCAACCAATCTGAATAGGAATACGGTAAAAGATATATTATATTTAAAGACTGTTAAAAGATTGTACTTTTTGAGAAGCTTCATCAAATTTGAAAACCCTTGAGAGAGCCCGCTTTAGTGATTGGATCGCCTCGCTTTTGTACCTAAATGTTTGTGTTGATCAACGACAGGAATTGAGGTTAATTTAATATCTAACAAGCTAGTAAATATCTAGATATCTATCAAAAAAAAAGTTAGTAAACATCTATATCTAGATATTTACCAGCTTTCTTTTGATATCTTTAATCACAACCTCTCAATGGCGCACAGTTGAATCATCGCGCCGAAGCCGAACTCACTGTGCAACATTTTCGAACAATCTTGCTAAATTTTTTGGCTATACTATAATTCTATCTATAACTGAATCTAGTTTTAAAGTTTTAAAGTTCATTTACCTTAAATAACTTCAAAAACGTTTTCCCGATTTCAGCTTGATCGAAAGTTGAGTGTAAACATTTCAAAATTGGCAACAATCGCCTATTTGGTGTCTCACTGATCGGCCAAGCTTGCACGATTGATAAAAGCATTGGAAAGTGTCTAGAATGAGGATTTCAGCTTCATTTCGTTAAACTGTACAACTTTTCCTTTACCTCTTATTTATATCTGGTATAAAGCGCATCAAAATCAATGTTTTCCATGAGGCAACGACCACTTTCTCTTGGGTTTCTTCGATCTAAATGCAAAATTTGACAATAATAAAGTAATAATCATTACAATAGATTAATTTAAGCTTTTAAACTAATGCACTTTATATATCCTAAGAAATTTTACCAAAAGATTTGGCTTTGATTAATGATTTGGCTTTGATCTACACTTTGAAACGCTGTCTTATTGGATAGATTCCTTTTAAAGTGCTTTAGTCAAGTATTTGAGATAAAACATACATTCTCATTCTCTTCTGATGTACATTTTGCGAGATCTTTTGCGATTTGAGAAAAGCACTCCAAATAAAGTTCGTGTAAGTCGAGTTTGCTAAAAGTTCTTATTTAAAGACCTAGGCTTGCCTGGTTCAGCTTAGTTTAGCGGTTTGATCCGGTTTACCTTAATCTAACACTAGAACTAATCTAACACTGGCTTGAGACAAAGCTTTCATACAACAACTGGATAAAGCTTTCATATAAACCTGGCAATGAAAAGGACGCTTTCGAAGAGTGTCGACTCGATGCTCAAAGACAGCCATTTAACTAACGATTCTCGCACGAGAATCTTACCTGAATTCTATCATATAAAAATCCCATTATATTTCCCACCTGCAACATTTCGGTTGCTAACTTTCAATTGGCCTTTAACAGAAATCTCTTCAATCATGATTGCAACGATTTCTTTCCATTGTCCATTCACAGCTCTTTTGGAAACAATTCGTTCATCGATTGATTCAAAAATTTTCAGCAAAGAGTTTGTGGAGCTTCGTTTTAACTAAAAACAAAATTGGATTAAGTCCATCTCCTTTAGACAACCTCTTTCTTGAACTCATTCAGAATCGAGATGAAAGCGGGTAAAGCGAGATCGGATGTTTCGATGGTGATCAATAATTCTAAAAAAAAATGAAAACATCAAACTAATCACTTTTAAAGATATTCTGTAATTGATAACGTTTTCTAAAAAATAAACAGTTTTACCTGCCAATTGTTGCTCTCTCAAAATTTCACCCAACTCCTTATCAAGCATTGAGACGATAATCTATAAAAGAAATTTCTAGGTAATGGCTAGCTCCAAACATTCCAAGCTTCGATGAATTGACTCAATTTGAGACCGCGATCGACTTGTGACTCTGGAAGACGAAAGTGCTGATGAACTTTGGCCTAAAGCGCTTTAGATATAGGTACTTATCGATGTGCATCGTACTTTGTGCTCAAAGTAGAAACACACCCATTCTCGCGTACTCATTTCTTTTATTTCTTACAAAAATGAGTTGGTTTACGAGAAAACTGCAGAATTGAGTGCGCCAGAAAAGGCGCCTTTACAGTTTTTATGTGCCTATAATTTTTGCGCTAAGAAAAACGAGATTTGCGCGAAATGAATTTTAGCGTCAACAATTGCACCATTTCTCGTGCATAGAGTCTCAAATTGTGGCGCTTTATCTTAGCTGCACGATGAGTATAAACAGATCTGCAAAAAACAATCAAGTCTACGTGTAGAAATTTACCTCCGGACACAAGTACTCCGAGAAAGTCTTCCGTTGCAATACAAATGACGTTTCGAAAATCGTCGACTTGTTGAAAATTTGTCGAAAAATCCGTTGAAATACAAATAACGTTTCGAAAATCTGTCAAAAAATCCTTTTTCGACAATTCGTCAGGCTTTTCGAAACGTCATTTGTATTGCAACGGAAAACTTTCTCGGAGTACTTGTGTTCTGATAAATTTCTCCACGTAGACTTGATATTTTTGCAGATTTGTTATACTCATCGTGCTGCTAAGATAAGGCGCCACAATTTGAGGCAAAAGCTTTCTATGCACAAAAAATGGTGCGATTGTTGACGCTAAAATTCATTTCGTGCAAATGTCGTTTTTCTTAGGTGCGCATACCCATTTTTTTTTAAATTTCACCCACCAGTCTCCGTGGTTCATTCGCCATTTTGCCCATCGCACCACTCATATCCTTTTTCCATTTCTCGTCAAAGTTTCCCGAGATGAACTTGAAATTTCATAATGAATTTTTACAAAATCCTTCCTTTCAAACCTTTTTCGCGTTTTTCAGCAACTCATCAACGAAAACCAAAACCCCAATTCGTTTATTTGAATCATTTTTCGAAACTAAATTTCTTTCAATTTTAAAATTTCAAATTTTAAACTCACATTGACTGTTCTGTTGACTTCGAAAAAGTTGCGTTTGCTGGGTGAACATGGCTAAAGCTTTAGGTTAACAACAGGAAATGAGAAAGGAAATCTGTATTTTTATAAGAATAAACAAAAAATTACGGATAGTTTGAAGGGATCAATTGGCCAAATTTTGCCAAAGGCTTTCTAGCGGAAATAGAAGGATCGGTGGAATTTTAATTGAGCGAGTAGACCCTAACTATAGGCTTGTAAACTAGATCACGATTTTGGCCCACCCCTGGTCCTGGACCTTTAATCGAAAATAAATTGCCTTTGGAACAACTCTGTCTAATAAAACTTGTTTCCCTTCAACACTTTCCATCTCCTTTTCCTCGCCTAACAGGAAATTTCTTGTTTTTGTGTTCGCCTTTTCCCCTTTCCCGCTCTTTCAAATCCCTCGTTTTCCCGCGTTTTATACGGCAGCGGCTCTCCGTACTTTGTGCTCAAAGATTTGTAAACACAGTCTTCCTGGCGCACCAAAGGCCTTCCTTTTATGTGCTAGAGTAAAGAGACATTAAGTGTTCTGGTTAATTTTCCTTTTGTAACCCAGTTTTACTCGGTTACTCAGTTTGGGTTAAAAACTATTGATTACAAAGAAAATTGGTGTCTGTATTCTAAATAGTTATCAATAATTTTTAGAAGAAATTTAGAAGCGCGTCACAAAACAGAATATTTTGTACAAAATTTAGGCAATTCTCGTCGACGAGCTTCATGAAACTCGGCATTGAGTTTCCCCCAAAAATTGGAGAACCCTTCAAAATTGTTGCTTTCGAAAGACACCAACAACATTTCAAACAAAGAACAAACAAACAAAAACATATTTCAAACAACAAAGAAAACATTTCAAAGATGATAGTAAGAAAAGAAGGCACAAGATCAAGATGATGATCTTGGGCACAAGATGATCAGCCAATCATCGGGTCTCTCTACTCTCTTCATCGATTCTTCTTTTGTAACACAATATCGACTCAGGGATTTTCAAATCTCTTGCCAATTTTGTCGTGAATTGTTGAGCGTCGTCGTCGAGGTAGAAATCGGTTACCAATACGTGGTCGGCGAATTTCTGAAATACGGGATTTGCAATAAACTTTGGTACATCAGGGTTGTACATCACATGTATTCAGGCAAGTTTAAAATAAATATAACTCTTTTAAGTACCCTAAAGTCGCGAGTATAAGTTCTGTCTGGTTTTCGCATGCAAATTGACGGCTGTATGCAAATTGACGGTGTGTCGAGGGTTCGAATCCCGCTGCAGCATAACTTTTTTGCTTTTTAAGAACAATAGAAGTAAATTTATTGAGGGTTATAGCAATTTTATGCTGTTATTTGTTGCTCCGGGCGTGGCTCGGCGCGTCCGCCCTGCTCCTCTCCGGTGCTCAGTCTTATGGATCCCTCCCTGGCCTCTTCATCCGGCCAAAGTCCACGTCGACGGTCGAAAGAGATGCTTTCCAGCGTCTTCTTCAACACTATCGTCTGGATGTATCCATGCACATAACAAATAGCAATGGTGATAGGCTGTCACCCTGTAGTATCCCGCGCTCCAAGAACAATAATAAAAGTTTATATAACAATAAAAATGTATAAAAACCCAACAAAAAGAAATTCAAAGCAATTAAAGCGACATAAAAAAGAATTCTGTGCTTAGCTTCGAAACTGATGATCACACCGGGAAAAATTCCTTTAGGAAGAGTCTTGTGCTTGAAAATGAGCATCGGTGGGAGTTTCGATCCATCGGCTAGAATTCCGAGCACAACTGTGGAATTCGTCTTCTCATTTCCCGTTGAAGCAATTGAAATATCACCCTTTCCTATTACTTCGACTGTTCGGTTGGAAACAATATCGATCTTTCTCCACATCCGGTCATTTTGCCTTCAATCCTCGCTAAGCTCGATTATTTTTTGGTGAAGTCATCAGTGCCGGCTCAGCTTGTTTCCAGCGGTTAATCATCTGTTCGGCGACTTCAAATTCGATCGCAGCCGCGTTCGTTCCAAATATCCTCGCAAATTTGACCGCTTCGAGCTTCGTTTCGGCGGTGTACGACTTTCTCCTCATCGTATCTAAAATGAAAAAACGTTAGTAAAATTAAAAATTAAAAAAAACAAAAAAAACAATAAAAAACAAAAAAAACAAAAAAACAATAAAAATTAAAGAAAGAAGAAAATTTTCCATCCCTTTAAATGCCCTTTAAATGTAAATTCAGAACTTATATTCGGATGAACTTATACTCGCGACTTTAGGGTATTTGGAAGTGTATTCAGCTGAGAAATCGTTGAATTGAGGACAGATTTCACCTCTGCTCGATACGAGCAAACAGCTAAATTAGGCAGGCGTGTTTTCTAAAATGTGTCAGCTTTCAAAAAACTATCGTAACCTTGTCCTTAGTTTTACCCTTGACCCTTGGATAAAAACTAGAGACAAGATTACGCAAGTTTTCGAAAGTTGACACGTTCTAGAAAACGAATCGTTGACCAACATGTTTGGCGAAGAAAAGTGTGCTGAAATGATCGGACAATGCATCGAGAAGGTCCACTAGCTCGAGATGACTTCGGACAATTTGAGTTTGGATATGAGAGAGGACGGCTTTGAGGAGGTCTTCAAATAAAATTTAGTTCCTAGAGTTTCGTATCGTTTGCGCTTTTGATTTCCCGATGCACATCGGCGCGAAAATGCGTTTTCTATCGGATTTTGATGTGCTATGCACCATTTAACGTGAAAAAGTGAGCTGATTTCAAATTTTTCAAAAATTTTGAAATCCGCTTGACAGATTTTTTTAAAATCAAATTTTTCGAAAAAAAATGCATGTTTTTAGTGTAAAACTCCAAAATGCCCTGCCTTCTGATGCCCATATCTCATCAAAAACAGAAAATTATGTGTTATCAAGGGATAAATTTAGTTGCCAGAATAGGATCTTCATTTTAAAAGAAACAGTACAAAAATTGGATATACCTGTAACAAGTTATAACAGTTTAAATCCAAAAGTATACATTTCGAGTGTCCCCCCCCCCTGTGTCCCCCTTTTGCCCCCTAAGTGTCCCCCTCAAAGTGTCCCCTTTTTGTCCCCCTAAAGTGTCCCCCCCCCCTAGTATCCCCCTATTTTTTTTCATATCAAATCACAACTTTTTGCTCTCCAAGGAAAAGGAACAAAAAGACTTTCTGGACAGCCTAATAATCACGAGGCTTGCTAATGTTTGCTTGTTTCTCTCACTTACTACGGTTTTTTAACATCTCCCTACATATATTGATATGAAAAAAAATAGGGGGATACTAGGGGGGGGCACTTTAGGGGGACAAAAAGGGGACACTTTGAGGGGGACACTTAGGGGGGGCAAAAGGGGGACACAGGGGGGGGGGGGGCACTCGAAATGTATATCCAAAAGTGCAATTTGACAACTTTTTGCGCGCTAAAGCATGGATAAATACCGTACTCGGCATTTTTTAGTACACCCATGCACAAAAAATGTCACATCGTTTTTACAAAACTTTACGCCTAAATTTGACCTACTAAACGTGTTCCAAATTCTATGCTGTCAAAAGGTTTTAGATAGCAAAAAGCTTCTACTTTCTTGTGAAAAAGTGTTCAAGTTCCAGCAATTTGTTTAAATTTTTATTTTTCAATAAATACCGGAAGAACACCAAAAACGGGTGCACAAAAAAAATGTCACACATAAAATAAAAATTGATAAAAACAAAAATCTAATATTTTGTCGGGCCTCCCTTAGCTTGAATAACTGCCTGAATCCTCCGTGGCATCGAATCAGTCAAATCCTCCAAGAGGATCCTCAAATCTTCCGCTTCGAATGAAGTACCAAAGCTCCAACCTTGGTCGCAAATCGTTTGCCCTTCAGTTTACCCTTGATGTGCGACCACAAATGCTCGATTACGTTGAGATCCGGGCTGTAAGGTGGAGCAGCGACGAGCTTGACACGATTGTCAGCGAACTATCCCGGTAAACGAGCCCTTCCACCGTTTGAAAGTCGGCCGACCCTTCCTATCAACATCTGGTGCTTGTGACACGGAGCGTTATCCTGGTACAACAACCATCCTTGTCCCATATTCGTGGTCGCAAATGGAAGAAGATCATTCTCCAGGATCGTCTTGTACCGCTGGGCCTTCAAGGTTGAGTTGAGAAAGACGAGCGGACCTGGTGAACTTCATCGCTCCTGAAAAAAAAGCAAGATTAGTTCACATAAGGGAACAATTCTTTTACCCCATAGCATAATCGATCCGCCACCAAATTTGACTGTCGGCCGCAAGTATTTGATGTTATGGCGTTGTCCAACTGGTCTCCGGATCAAGTGATTGCCATTAGGGTTGAAGAGATTGATCTTCGACTCATCGGTGAAAATGACATTGGCCCAGTCATTCGGCGTCCAACTTTGGTACTTTTTTGCGAACTCGAGTCGGATCTTCCTGTGCTTGGCAACCATCAGAGGCTTCTTGGCGGCCCTTCTAGTTATCAATCCTGCTCGATTCAAGCGTCGGCTCACTGTCATTCGATTGATATCCTTGCCGAATTGTTGCTTGATGAGGCAAACACCATCCGACGCGTTAAGATTCGGGTCCTTATTGTACGCCAAAATCAAAGCCTTGTCTTCGCGTGGTGTAGTGGCTGGTGGCCGTCCACTTCCTGGTGTCCTGTGCAAATTTCCAGTCGTTCTCGACTTCGCAGCAATGCGAGAAACGGTTCTTACATCACATTTGAACAGCTCGGTCACCTGTTTCCGCGGGATTCCTTGTTTCCTTGCTTCAACAATCTTTTCTTTGTCTGGCGTTGAGAGCTGTGATTTTACCATTCTAAAATTTAAAAAATTAGCATAAAAGAATGCAATCAAAAAAAAAGTAAAACGGAAAAAGAGCAGGTTCAAGTTAAATGTGACATTTTTTTTGTGCACCCGTTTTTGGTGTTCTTCCGGTATTTATTGAAAAATAAAAATTTAAACAAATTGCTGGAACTTGAACACTTTTTCACAAGAAAGTAGAAGCTTTTTGCTATCTAAAACCTTTTGACAGCATAGAATTTGGAACACGTTTAGTAGGTCAAATTTAGGCGTAAAGTTTTGTAAAAACGATGTGACATTTTTTTTGTGCATGGGTGTATATAATGGAAAGTCATATTTCGACGAAATTAAGATTTTTTTCTTGTTATTTACTGCTCTTTTTAGTTGTTTTTTCTTTACTTTACTAATTTTTTTTTGTTTTCCAGATAGCAAAATGGTTTGATGTGCCGACATTAAGGAATGGGAGGTAACACGCGTTTATGAAAGTACAGTACGACCCAGATATTGACAAGTTTATTGTTTGACTTTCTTTGTCTTTCTGTAAAAACTCACCTGATCCGAGTGAAAATTCATAATAACCGAGTCATATTTTTTTGACGAAAAATTCCACAAGATTTGATGTGTCGATATGCGAGACGATTCACTTTTTGATAGTCGTTTCTAAAAATTGGGTGAATGTAATCTGTACAGTATCTAGAGTTTCATGTTTTCCGGAAGACTGTAAACTTTGTTTATCAACATTCGAATTAACTATTAGATAAAGTAGCAATCCTCTATTTTATATCTTTCTTATCCCTCACTAACTATGAAAAAGCCGTTAATGTAAAAGAAAGTGATCCATTGCTATGTAAATGATAGAAAATGGCCGTGAATAGGAATACTTTGTATGCGGATATCAGATATCCAGAGACCCGAGCTTATCTTATTTTTATCCACAAGTCAGTTCTGATTTAGAAGTCTTGTTAAAAGCGATGCAAATCGTTAAAAGAAGCCATGCAAATCGTTAAAAGCCATGCAAATCGTGAACTTGTTGATAAAATTTTAAAAAGCAAGTCAAGAACAAGTCACAGACGGGATGATCTGCTACTTTATAGTAGCTTAAGTCTCTTCCGCACAAAACAACTCTAAAAGCTGAGTTTGAAGGTAATTTGCTTTTGAGAATCTGTTAATTCGACTGAATTGAACTATCATAAATATTCTAATAGAGGAGCCCCTTATAGGAGCGTCGCGTAGCTTAAGTTTACACTCACAAGGGAAGTCCTTCAGGCCCGCATCTGGAATTTAGCTGAGACCAAATGGATCTTATAGAATGCCTTATAGATCTTATGCTGATCACGAATATCTATAAAACTTTTGCCCAAACGCAAGATATTTGGCACAGAAGTTTTAGCACTTACCTTATAAAGTCCCTCAGGCGTTGGAAGAGAATGCGGCTGTGGCCTAGTGGATAAACGTCTTGTGTCAGGCGCGACCCTTGGTTTTTGTGCCGCTGGTTCGAATCCTTTTGCTGCAAAGCTTTTTGCTTTTTTATATTTTTGCGGATCTTAAGGACTTCCCCTTGTCAAAGAACCGCTCATCTCTCTACGCGCTTAGATATCAAATTAAAGTAGAGAGGATGGATGATTTTTGAGATATAACACATATTTTAGCATTAACCAGCCGCTCAGAACAAATTGATTGAAAAATGAAGAAAAATCGGCTTTTTTGTCACTTTTCAACCATTTTTGTTAATGCTTTTTGTTGGCTGGTTAATGCTTAAAATATGCGTTATATATTCAAAAAATCACCCATTCTCTCTACTTTACTCTGATACCCAAGCGCGCAGAAACAAACGTACTGGTACTGAGATATGAGCGTTTATTTGAGAGTAAACTTAGACTACGCGACGCTCCCGTAGGGGGGCTTCTACTTAGAGTATTTAATACTGCAATAATGATCTCTCAGCAAGTTCACCAGCAAAAATTTTTCATTTGCAAGTTTTCTTCCGTTAGGGCCACACTTTAGTTTGCAGTTTCCCAAATTTTACCTGTTTTCCATACAAAATTTACTTCAACTTTTCAAAGTTGGTCGCATTCTCTTCAAAACTAAGAACATAACCTTTTGCAAATTTTTTAAAATCCCCTTTAGCTCATTTCAATCCATTTTCCTTGCCTAACAGGAAAGCGCTCCTCTCGTTTTTGTGTCCCTTTCCCTTTTCCCGCCCTTTTAAATCGTTTTCCCGCGTTTTATAACACAAACGGCCTTAGAAGCCTACTGTAACCATTAACGGAAGTTAATTTTTTGAAACCAGACGAAAAGTTATGAAATTTTTTATCGTGCGCTTTTTCTATTTATAAACTAAATTGTTCACTATTTTCTTGGTTAAAACGTATCGAGAGCGAGCAAGCTTAGGCCTTAACAAAGTTTCGGAAAGAACCTGTTGGACTTATAGCATGTAGTTTCACATGATCGACATAGTTTCGTTTCAATAGTATCATTATTGCTTTTCTAACTTTTTCACTATTGTTTTTTTTCTTTTTATGGGTTATCGAGAGTACAATTTGTCAAGTTCAGTTCGCCATGGCCGAATTTCAACAATTTGGGCGTCTGGTTGCGCAAATGCTTGACACAGACAACACGGTTCGTTTATCACTATCACTTTAGTTTTATCTTTTTTTGTTTAGAAGCGAAAAGAAGCCGAGGACCAATATGAAAAGATCGACCTTTCACAGAAGATCACCCTCTTGTTTCAACTCTACTTGGAGCGCTCTGCCTCGGAAGATGTAAGTTGTCAACTTTCTTTTTTAATTTATTAAAGCACTGGCTCATTTCAATTTACATTCGTTTATCTTCGTACAGCGATAGTGATATAGATTCATTCATCTTAAAATTTTAATATTTAGATTCGGTCAATGGCTCTTGTTTTGACGCGACGCCTATGGGATTTCGACTTCGAGGCCGCTTTGAAGGTGCTGAGTGCCGAACAACAAGGTCAATACATCGAGGGAATCTTGCATGCGGCCACCGAGGAGCCATCGCTTCAATTGCAAAAGAAGTTAGCCGATGTCATCTCGCAATTTGCAATGAACATGATTGGTTAGTTTTTTTTTGCCATATGTTTTAATAAAATACTTGTTTAGATGAGGAAAGTGGCGTCCAGAAGTGTGGGAAGATCATTCAATTCATCGAGCACTGCAACTCGTCTGCCAATGCGAATTTGAAAGTTGTGGCGATGTCGATTATCGAGTTAGTTTTGTTCTATTTTGATCTTCATTAAAAATTCTTTAGAGAAGTGCCAAACGTCTTTGGACTTGATCAGGACAAGTACTTGCCAGGGATCAAAGCCATCTTCCAAGCGTGTTTGGTCCACGAAGCGGTCTATGTTCGCTCGGCTGCTGTTAAAGCGTTGTCAGCTTTCATGTGTCACAACGACGACGACGACAAGGCTCTCAAGCAGCTTGGGACCTTCATTCCTCAAGTTTTGAAGGTAGTTTGAATGGTTAACGAAGTTTTTATACTTTACTGATTTGGGTTTGCCAACATATTGTCACTACATCGGAAGACGATGATGTCCCTCTACAATCACTTTGCGACTTGGTCACCACTGTGCCTAAAACGTTGACGCCATACCTGAACGACATCTTGGTGTTCGCGCTTACGGTATGGTTTTGATCAATTGGTTATAATGTTTGTTAAATTTTAGACCGTGAAGAACACCGAATTGGAGGAGTCCTACCGCCATACGTCTCTGGAGATCATCGCGTCTTTCTGCGAGGCAGCACCAAACATGATCAAGAAAAGAGCCGCTCAGCTCATTCCAACAATGTGTACGTCAAAGTTTTTTTAAATTTTTAATATCTGCTTTGTTTTAGTGGAAGTTTGTATTCTCTCTATGACGGACTTGGAAGATGACACAGAAGGTAAATTGTAATATAAAGATTTCTCAAATTTAATTGTTTAGATTGGCTTTCCGTGGATGATGCTGACGAGGATGTCGAAGAAGATAATGCTGCTCTTGGAGAAACGTCATTGGATCGAATCTGCTGTGCTTTGGGCGGCAAGGCCACTTTTCAGCCGGCGTTGGCAATTGTTTCACAACTTCTCAACAATGGTATGACTTGCTCTTCAAGAAGATCTTGATTTCCTGTTTAGGTGATTGGAAGAAGCGGCATGCGGCCATTTTCACACTATCGACAATTGGCGAGGGTTGCAAATCGGTGATGGAGGCAAAGATTGTGGAAATTGTTGAGAAAGTTATTCCATACCTTCTTGATGAGGTTTGTTATTAGGCAGAAAGTTATACAAATTTTGGTTTTAGCATCCACGTGTTCGTTACGCAGCCTGCAACGCCTTGGGTAGGGACTATTTCTTCCAACAAAGTGGATAACTTTATTTTTAGGACAAATGTCGACCGATTTTGAACCTACTCTTCAGAAGAAATGCCACGAGAAGGTTTTAAAAAGTTTTCATGTAAAATTTGTACCTTTGTTTTAGGTTGTACCTGCTCTTGTTCACACTCTATTGGACTTATCGGTGATGCGTGTGGCCGCCCATGCTGGTGCAGCTTTGGTCAACTTCAGCGAGGAGTGCCCCAAGAACATCATCTCTAATTATTTACCGGATGTGAGTATTATTTAACTTTAATAAAACGAGTCATTATTTCAGATGATGAGCTCTCTCGAGCAAGTTTTGGAAGCGACTTACAAACATCTGGTTGAGAAAAACAAGAAGTTGGTTCTCGAGCAAGTGATAACAACTATTGCGTCAGGTTTTCTAATCGAAACTTACCTTTTGTAAGTTATGTTATTTAAGTTGCGGATGCGGCCGAGGCTGAATTCATTCACTATTACGATCGAATGATTGTGCCTCTGAAGTTCATCTTGCAAAACTCTGGTGGTGACGACTACAAGGTATCTCATTAATATTTTGACTTCATTATTAATTCGGTTTAGCTGCTTCGAGGAAAGACGATCGAATGTGTCTCACTTATTGGGCTTGCTGTTGGACGGGAGAAGTTTGCGAATGACGGGCAGGAAATTATGAACATGCTTGCTGATACGATGTTGGTTTATGTACATTGTTATCCTTAATTAAATTCCTTTAGGCCAAATCTTCCACCTGATGATCCACAAACCACTTACATGATCAGCTCATGGACCCGGATTTGCAAGGTAAGCTATGTCTTTATTTTGGTTTACCGAAAGGTTTTAGGTTCTTGGACCATTGTTTGCTCCGTATCTTCCGCTTGTGATGCCACCAATTATTCGGTCCGTCGAGTATGCTCCCGAAGTGACTGTTGTTGACGGTATGCCACTGTTATCAAATGTTTGAAGAGCATATATTGTAGACTCGGAAGCCAATGAAGATGATCCTGCATGGTCGTTCACGTCTGTTGGTGACAATCGCTCGTTCGGGATCAGAACGGCTGGAATTGAGGAAAAGGTCACCGCTTGCGAAATGCTCGTCTGCTATGCTAGAGAGTTGAAAGGTATGCAAGCTTGGGACTATTAATTCTATGCATTTTTAGAAATGTTTGGTCCTTATGTCGAGCAAGTGCTGCCACATGTTCTCAAGAATCTGAAGTTCATGTTCCATGAAGGTTTGTTAACACATGAATTAATAGGTACGAATAAAATTTAGGAGTCAGGGAGTCGTCGGCTGAAGTGTTGCCAGCATTTTTGGAGTGCTTCAAGCAACAAGGACCTGAAGTGATGTATCGGCTCTGGCAGGTAAAGCTTTTTTTCTGAGAATGCATTATGACTAAATGCTTGTTTAGACCTACTACCCGGCTTTGGAGGAAGCATTGAATTCCGAGCACGATCTAGATGTCCTTGCTGAGCAAATCAATTCCATCGCAGAGGCCGTCACATTGCTTGGAACCGCTCTTTCAAATGAAGAACTTGCAAAGATTGCGGAAATCATCAGGGATCAGTTGACGAATTTCGAGGAACGCCGTAATCAACGAGAAGCTAAAGAGGTCGGCTATCAAGTCTAAACTAATAATGTCTTTTTTGTAGGTGGATGAAGATGCCGATCCAGAAGACGCACACGATAATGCTGATGAAGATCAGGAAAGTGATGCTAACTTGCTCGGTCGCGTGTCAGATCTCTTCCATGCTTGCTTCAAGGTTAGTTTTTAGATCAAAGTATTAAATGGTTAATTTTAGTCGTTCGGTCCAACTTTCTACCCAATGGTCCAATCGATTATTCCTGGTATTGTTGCTATGATTGATCAAAGTCGCGATTTCACGGATCGTCAATGGGCTGTTTGCATGGTGGACGATTTGATTGAGTTCGCTCCAAAAGTAAAATCCTAGTGTGAACACGTTGTTTATAAAATCACTTATTTAGGAAGCACAGCTCATCCAACAAGCTTTTGCTCCTCGTTTGGTGGAGTGCTTGAAAGATCAGCACCCTGAAGTGCGTCAGGCTACGTCGTATGGATTTGGTAACGAAAAAACTGCCGTACTAGCTTTATTTTTTGTTTTAGGAGTTATGGCTCTTCAGGGCACACTTTTCACCGATGTCTGCGTGCAAGTGCTTCCACTTCTGGCTGAAATGATTTCTCAACCTGATGCTCGCGCAACTGAGGAAGGTCTGTAACTGACAACAAGTACAGAAGTAATTTTATTTTTAGGCACCACTGCTACCGAGAACGCTATTTCTGCTGTCGCAAAGATCTTGAAGCACTGTGGAGGACAAATTGATCAAGCTCAAGTATGGTTTAAGATTGACCAAGTTTCCAAAAGTGTTTAGGCTATTCCACTCTTCCTCTCGTGGCTTCCAACATGGAATGATCCTGAAGAGTCTGTTCACATCTATGGCTTCTTTGCTGATCTGGTCGAATCAAATAACGCTTATGTAAGTTATTTACTGTTTTTCAATCTCAATTTCTACTTTAGGTCTTGGGTGAGAACAACAGCGGATTGCCTCTGATTTGTCGAATAGTTGTGCTAGCTTTTCACAACGGAGCTTTCGACGATGAGGATGAAAATGTGACACCAGTCAAAACTCGGCTTTCAAATGTAATTGCTCTACTTTTTTGTTATCATTATTTGATTTTTAGATTCTTCGCACGCTTGCACAAGATCACGCTGTCTTCAGCAGTTGCATCCAAGCTGCTGGACTCAACGAAGCCGAACAAGCCACGGTCAACAAGATTGTTTCTTAAACTGCTGTAATTTTTGTTGTTTTTGTTTGTTGTAAGATGTCTCTATCTTATTAGTCTGAACTGTTATTGAAGTGCCCTTTCAGCTCCATAGCCATTGAAATGAAAATTGGTTATTTGACTTCAGACCTTTCCGCAACTTTACCTACAGAATACCGGTCTTGACCAATCCCCGTGTTTATTTTCATTGGTTAATTATTTGATTGTTGTTACTCCATCCATAGAGACAAATAAATGTTTGTTATAATCAATCTTGTTTCTGAAAATGCCATGAAGATTTGAAAAATCGTCAACTCAAATATCTATTCAATGCATTTCGGCAATACGAAAGACAAGCCTATGGTGGTGTGCTACTTGTTGAATGGATCCATCCAAAAGTTTTATTAACGTGGTGACATATCCTTTAATTGTAAGCTAGCTCGGTGGCGTGATTGCTCAGATCTGTGGGGCCAAATGAGTGCGGGAGAAGCTCCTAAATACGTGTACTTTAGCTGCACTAGATTTTTAGTTTACCTTTATTGTTGTGACGAGCGTTTTGCAGTTTTTTGAAGACCCCAAGATAACCTGAAACTTGCTTTGAAAAGTTTGGTTTTCACTTTGTTTACCTTGATGTTGCCGAATTCGTTCATGAATTGCCTACAGATTCCACAAGGTGCAGCTGGTGCTTCCAACTCAGTGGCGATAGCAATCGTCTTAAAAAGTGTCTCTCAAGACTAATTGAGCTGCTAGGTACCAAGAATTCTCGTTTTCCTTGAGAAACGGCAGCCACGTAGGCGCTTCTTTCGGCACAAATCGTTCCACCGTACGATGCGTTCTCCACATTTACTAAAGTTTTTGATTTTGAATCGATCGATTTTGTACATCGATTTTGAATGTACGTATAACGCGGATCTATTTAATTTTGGCATACCTCCGGTAAAAACCGTTCCATCTTTGCAGAGTAGAGCGGCCGCGACAGGGAATTTGCTATAGCGACAATAGGCAAGGGGCAAAGCGGCCACCGCTTTCGCCATTAGGTCCTCATCCGATGTCATAGCTGAAATTGAAATATTGAAGACAACTTGATGGTCAAAGAAAGAGAAACCTAATGAAATGAACCTTTGATCTATTTACTATGAAACCAGAAATGTTCCAGACGAGAGCGCTTTTTGGTGAAATCTCAAACAGAAATGCGAGAAAGAGGGGGTATTTCTCTCTCGACCGGTGTTAGATCAATCGTCATTAGTCGTCGAATGATAGTTGATATCGGGGGCGATAAAGGATATTGAAGAGAGATTAGAGACAAAGTGAGACGACCCTGGGAATGTGATCTCTAAAAGTTGCAATTTTGAAATTGTGGAAGTTGATTTAAAAGTATGAAGTTGATTTGTAGTAATTGTTACACATATTTTACTCGGTGTTTTTTAGATAAATGAAGCGACTATGGAACGCGCTCGGAAAAGAAACGAAATCGACGATCTTCCAGAAGAAAGCGGTTAAACAAGTGGAAAAGATGGAGAAAGTTAGTTTTTTTAATTGGCTTCAAAGAATTTGTTTAGGGAGAAGCGATGGTCAAGGCGCCTCGCCACGAACGCGAAAAGAAACACTTTGAAGAAGCGCAAAAGGATGAACGATTGCAGAAGGTTATTTGGCAAAAACTTTACGTAGTGGTAGCCATTTAAAAAATTAAGTTAATTCAAATTCAAAATCTTGCTTCATAGATTCAGAAGAACATTTTCGAACAGGAGTAATTTTAGGCTGTAGCGGAAAGACGCGAGGAGCTCATCGACAATATCAACCGGATACACATCAAATCAACGGATCCGCCTGAAAGATGGACATCGACCAAGTAGGCTTTACTGTTTTTCATTCTACGATTATGGCTTAACTTTTTTAAAAGGTGCTTATTTAGAGAACTCCCGACTCGTGACTCCGAATGGGCCCACCGCAACGATCCCGCTTGGGAGTTCGGGTTTTATGAACCGGCGCCGGAGAGAATTCCCAAATCGAAGCTGACTTTTCGCGAGGCGTTGGAGGTATTTTTAACACTATTGCGTTTAAAAACTGGATTTAGTTGCTAAGAATGAAACAAGAGCTAGATGATGACAGTGCGACTCCAACGGGTGCAAAAAGAAGGGAACAAGCCTCGGTAAGTCAGCATCATTCTCAATCTTTGCATAATGTTGTTGATTTAGAAAGATCTTGAAGAGCATCAATCGCGGGACAGATTTTCGATGGATCAATTGGATTTGATGTACAAATATTTCCGACCATTCGAGCGCCAGGATAAACAGAGGGTGACTATTGGCTATACTTTTCTCACTAATATAATTTTAGGTGGTCAAGACGGAGGACCTCGTAAGATTGCAAGAAAGGTTACAGGTATGCTTGTTTATTTTTAATGACCTTTTGGTAAATTTAGGGTTGGCATGACCCCGATAAAATCGTGGCACCGCCTGGTGGAGTTTCCGGCTTCTTGAAAGAGAAAATGAGTAAATCTCTGGAAAAAGATCCCGCGGCTTACGAGAAATTCGAGAAGGTATTTGGATTTTTGATTCAGTTGGTTATTGATGATTTTAGATGGACGCCAAAGAACGTCAAGAGTTTGAAGATGCTGTAAGTCAACTTCGAGAAGAGCAAAGAAGTCGGCTTGAGGAACGAATGAAAGAAGTCAAAGAGGTTTGTTTTTTAAAAAATTTGAAATTCTCGAAAACGAATGCTCTAAATAGAAAGTTTGTAATCGAAATGCTTCTTTCGTTGTTGAACAACAACCATGAATCATCTCTTCATATTCACAAAAGCAAAATTAATATTGATTTTTAGATGGAAATCGCCGAGGCTGAAGCAGCGAAAGAACAACAGAACAAGGAAAACGAGGCTGAAAAATCAAAGGGCTCAAAATAATTTCGTCAAAATAATACTTTTGTAATTTAGTTAGCTTGTTTATTTTTTATTGTTAGTTTTAGTTTGTAGCATTACTAAGTTATAGGTGCTTTAAGCTTTCTACGGTTTACGGGTCGAATAAATAATTTTTCGGTTTTAACGAATGATGTAATGATCAATTGCAAGAGATTGAGATAATATTTAAAACTTTGTACGTTTATAACATTATTTAACGTGTAGACCTAGTGTAGATGGGACATGCGCGCTCTTCGAGTTGCTATCGGTGTTTCCGGCGGTGTTGATTCAGCCGTCTCTGCGAGTCTTTTAAAGAAAGCCGGCCATGAAGTCGTTGCAGTGCACATGGTGAGTTTTATGGAAATATGGGCACAAAATGGATATTGAATTTGTTTGTAGTCTGCTAATGTTGCAAAACTAATGAGCAAGTAAACAAACAGCTAATGAACAAATTTAAAGTTTTCTCTCATCTATAGTACTTTTTTAGATAAACTGGGACCCTCGTGAAGAAGGAACGTCAAAATGCGACCAATCTTTTGATTCAGCTGTGGTAAGTTTGTTATTGTTGTTGCAGTCTTATTTTCTTTGACATATTGAAATAAAATAATTTTTTAGGCTCGACGAGTTTGCCAACATTTGGATATCCCCTACAAGACGGTGAACTTTGTACGAGAATATTGGAACGAGGTGTTTAGGTGAGGTTTTGTGAGTTTTTATTAACCAAGCTTACTATAGACAAATGATTGATAACTACACGATCGGACGAACCGTTGTACCGGATATTGCTTGCAATCGCTTCATCAAATTTCAACACTTTCACGACTACTGTATAAAGGTGCATATATTCTGGAGTTATAATATTCGGCACGTTTAATCTATGAATTTTTAGAATCTTGACGCTGATCTCGTTGCTACTGGCCATTACGTTTCTACCTCGATTGAAAGTGAATTGATGGCTGGCAAGAATCCCTCAAATTTGAATGGTTCGTGCAACTAGTTAACTTGCATCTAAAAATGTTTTAGCCGACTTGTTGGCGGGAATCGACCCAATAAAAGATCAATCTTTCTTTTGTGTACACTCAAACAGGAACAACTAAAACGCGCATTGTTTCCGATCGGGAAATTATTTAAAACACAAGTAACTTCTTTAAGATTAAATTTTTTTATTAATTTAGGTCTATGAAATCGCAAAGCAAGAAGGACTGATTGAAGTAGCGAACAAGAAAGAGGTTGCACAAATTTTGAGTTTAAATTTTGGTTTTTCTAGAGCATGGGCATATGTTTTGTGGGAAAACGGAAGAATTTCACAACTTTTATGGATCAGGTTAGTCTTTTTTTTATTCAAAACTGAACTGAATTTAGTACATAGAGCCAAGACCGGGCCTGATAAAAACGATTGCTGGGAAAATTGTCGCTGAGCATACGGGTATTCATCATTTCACTATTGGAAAACGGGTACTTTATCAGGTTGGTTGCTGCATGAATATTTCAAATTTACATTGAAGTTGAGGGCGATCACTTGGGGTATTTTGTCGTCGAACTTGATCCAAAAACAAACACCGTACTTGTGGTAAGTTTATCGTTTAAGATAAGTTTTTGGTGTTTTAGTGCAGTGGATCACACCATCCAAGGCTTTTTGCGCAAGAATTTGTGATCCGAACGCCCGAATGGATATCGATAAATCCTTTGAGTGAGTTGAATTGATATTACAAAGAGCAAATATCTGAAAAAAGTTGGTTTTGTTCTGAAATCACAAAATCTAGTTAGTTTACAATAAGATCTCTTTGATTCATAAATTTTAGAAAACCATCTCGACGTGAGATTTCGAATTCAACGCACTCATCCCGTAATCAAATGCCGTTTGGAGACAAGTCTCAAGGGTAATTAATTTTCAAAACGGAACTACATGAAGTAGAAATGAAATTATTGTACTCAGTGACAAAAATTTTTTTCTTTAGATGGAAAAGAAGTAATCACGGTAAAAACACAGATTCCGGTTCGAGCCGTTGCCCCTGGACAGGTGGGAATTTTGAAGCCTTCTCAACTTCTCAGAACCGATACCTTTCCTTTCTTTTGGGACAAAATACAAGAAATGATTTTTGGTAGCAGATTTGTTTTGTGAAAACGATAAACAAATCTTTGTAGATTTAACTAAAGTTTGGTATGGTCTGGTCAATAGAGTTTTGGAAATTGATCTTTTTTACTAGTCTGAGCATAGTATCGTGTTACAATCTTAACTTTGCATTGCTTAAGTTAATGTCAAGCGCTAGATTACGACTCATCTAAAAGTTGTGCTTCACGTACATTTTACTAATCTTTTTTATTCAGATGTGTGTCTTCTACGCGGACCGCGTGTGCCTTGGCGGTGGTGAGATTCAACGAGTGACGCGAACCCTCAACGATTAGAGATTTCTAGTTTGTGTCGCATCGTTATATAGATTCACATGTCCTTTACTTTGTTTTACGTAAATAGTTATCGAAAAAAATAAATCTGAAATCATTTTCTCTGAGCAAAAAGCATTAAGGAAAGAGCTTTTGAGGCCAGCAGGTGAAAGCAACAGACAACCGCCCAAAATGTTTAGTATGTTGGCAAAAGCTCGAAAAGATCTGATCAATGATGTACTTTATCAAAATCAATGATACGTCGTTATTGGTGGCTATTTTTGTTAATTCGACGTATCTAGAGGTAGGGTTGAATGTTTTAGTCTTGGCATAAAGGTCTGGAATCCAAATTTGAAAGAAATTCTGAAACTTCTAGGGCACCTCACTGCGTATTCCCTATTACATATTCATCGTTATCGAATGTTTCCTCCAATTGTTGGCCCTATGCAATCTACCAATTCTGATGGGAATTCTCATCCGATCGAATCATTTACATTTGAATTTGCGAGTAATTTACATTGGGATGATATTTCTCGCCATGGTTACCATTGTCTCTCGTTATTTCATCATTTTATTTCAATTCGGGTTCTTTTCAAGGAAAAGTGGGTTTTTGTTCAAAGATATTGATAATAACCAGGAAAAATCAAAAGAAATTGAGTTGGACTAGATTTTGGCATTAAATTACACCAATTACACCTTACTTTTGTCCCCCCATAACCCCATTTCAGCGCATACCGAATTGATCTTGTTGGTGATCGTTTCCTCGACTCGTATCCAACCAATTCTCTACGAGGTTTTCTTTTGTTTCTCCGTTTTCGTTGAGCGTCTCGTCGCCACTCGAAAACTCGCCGTTTACGAGAAATCGAAATATTGGCCTCTGTCGACATTGTTGATTCTGTTGAATACTCTCGTCTCAATCATTTGCACCTATGCGATCATCTATTGTGGGTTTATGAAAAGCAAAAGAGCCACTTTTTTTTGCCTGATTGATTTACTGAGTTACGAGCATAAAGACTTGAAAATAATGCTTTAAAAAGCTGCTTCTACCAGAAACTTAAGCCAGCTAGAAACATGATCTTGACTCTGATCTAACTGGCTTACGAATACCTGGAATCAGCCCTAACTTGGCTTAGCTTGACTTAGCTTGACCTGGTCCAGGAAAAGTCTTGGACTAGTTAGAAGGAAGGCCTGCGCCTGACTCTAGTCTGTTTTTGGTCTATTGGCCTAGACTTATTGTGATCTTTAGACTTAAAATTTGCATAAACTTGCACTGAACTCAAGCTCGCATGAATCTCTCTTAAAAATTGGATTTGAAAAAGAAAAAATATGAAATCTATGAAATCTATGAAATCTCTACGATTCAGATCTCTACGATCACTACTTTTTGATATTGTTCATCTTTTTTCCGATCATCGCTTTCATCGCTTTGTTCTCGTTTTGGGTAACATTCCAAGGCGTTGAGCCAATTTTTTTTTTGCCCAAACTTTAGTGCCTCCATCAATTGTATCTCTGGAATCATCGAGAATTACAAACAATGACATCATTTGTTGAAGTGAAAGTGAGGCTTAAATTGCGCCAAAAAAAACCATTAAAACTTTCAGAATTTTCACGAGAAAACCTATGCAAACGATGCGTATTTGAGTCGACGATTTCAGTTGACCGAAAATATTGAAGTGTTGAAGGTGAGTGGAAAAGAGAATTCTATGGAAAAGATGCTTTTTCTCGGGTCTTTTCTTTGTGAAAAGCTATCATATGCAAAACACAAAGCCAATTCGCTTCTCTTGGGACTTTTCTTGGGCAAAGGGCTTGAATAAACCCCGGCAATAGGTTCTATGACCCCGGGACACAAATTTTTAACACTAAATCTCATTTGGGAGCCATTTACAGAAGAAAAGAGAAATCTATAAATGACTGGCGCGCTGTTCTTTGTGCGGCCGCGTAATCGCTCGCCGTCTGGCACATGTCCCCTATAGATAGGTATTCCCTTTGGGTCTGTTATATCCATTCCTGATCGTGTTCGAGCGCAAGGATAAGCCGCTTCCGGTCCGTCCAATTATTTCACCACCTAAAGCTCAGGAAGTCGTTGTTGCACTCTTCGATCTGTACGAGGTCGGCTGGACCAGGTCAGATCCGGCTCGGCCAAGTCAGAGCTGGTCGGAAGCCAGGGCAAGATCTTATCTTCAACGATTCCCGAGTAAAGCCAGACAAGGTCAGAAACCAGGCCAAAGATCCGGATTGTTTTGCTCACAAAAGTACAACCAAAAGCCAAGTTTGGAGCTGATCTAAAGGGTTTAGATCGATGACTTGCGGTACTCTTTTATCACAATCCCATCAAATTTTTTTTTCAGTTAATGCACACGATTTTTAAAGTGCACTCGGTGTGCAGTCTAGTCGGAGTATTTCTCAGCGGGATTCCCATGGTTTTCCTCGATTTCAACACCGAAATCGCGCAAATGATGCTCGTTTTTTTCGATTTAGTTATCATTGTGTGAGTTGGTTATTATAAATGAAGTCATAAAGTTCAATAGATTCCTCTGTGTTTTCTAAAGCATAGCAAATTTTCAAAAAACTACCGTAATCATGCGTCTAGTTTAATCAAGAAGTTTTTTCGATATCTTGAAACCAGAACCAGATAAAAAGTAGATAAATTGACTAAAAATATAGCAATTATAGTAGCTTTTGAAAGGGGACAAGTTTTAGAAAACGCTAGTCGAAAGGGGTACATTAAATAAAACTTTAGGTCAGATTACGGTAGCCTTAGAAAGTCTAAGATCTTGCATAAAAAGATCTTGCACCCTACTGTAACCTACTTTTACAGGCAATTTGCGGATTCCTCTTTCGTATAGGATTTTGGTTTGTGTGTGAGACAAGTGTGAGACTCAAAAATGGAGGACTGGAGATGTCCCAGTTTGAGCACTTTCCTCAAAAGAAACCCATTTTGGTGTCAATAGAAAAGTTGTAGAGAATCAAAAATGAGGCTTATAGCCAAATTTCCAAAAAGATACACTTAATAGTTTCGCTTAAAATGCAAGTTTTGTAAAAATTTGTAAATTTCGCATTTCTTGAAAACCAGTTTTTGAATCGTTCTGAAAATTTGGCTATAAACTTCAATTTTGATTCTCTACAACTTTCCCATTGACACCAAAATGGGTTTCTTTTGAAGAAAGTGCTCAAACTGTCACATATGACATTAGCCGGCAGTTTTCAATTCACCAACCCAATAAAAATTGAGGCCAGATTACGGTAGTCTTAGAAAGTCTAAGATCTTGCATCAAAAACCCTCCTACCGTAGCCCGTTTTAATCGATAAGTTTTAAAATTTTCAGTGCAATAATCACGCATATCACTTTAATGGTGCTTTGGATTGAAAGCTATCGGAGGGATTATTTCGCTTTTCTCTCGATATTTGGTCTCTCTTTCTTCAAAACATCCAAAATATCGCCTGTGAAGAAAATCAATGCGGAAGAAACGAAAAATACCTATTTCTCGATATATGATAAAATTTGGGCATGATTGAGCATGAGATCAGCACTAGAGCATTTCCAGATTACACTACAGTCTTGCCAAGATTTTAATTCTCATTTAAAGAGCAATTGCTTTGTCAAGATTGTGATTTCATTTGATTTGAAAGCTTCGAATCTTCTATCCAACATAGAGTAAGAAGTTAGAGGTCTTCTAAAAGCTTTGCCCAATTAAATCCGGATTTCAATTGGCTGACTCAATGAAATGAATAGCTTTAATCGATTCGCCGACCTCGAAAACCCCTGGGAGAAATTTACAGCTGAAGATCTTCTTTTATACCATCAGCAAAGAGCAAATGAATGTACTTTGTGCGACAGCGTAATCACTCGCCGTCTGGCACACGCTCCTGACAGATAGCGGTTCTCTTTTGGCATTAACGAGCTTACCATTACCGGCATTACCGAGCTCGAGAGTGTTGCCTCTCGATTCTATCACTCTTTAGTCCAATCAATCCCCATTCAGTATCATTAGAAAGCCCGGCATCTCCCCTCCCCCCGTGCCATTTCTAGACCCAAATCCTGATCCAAACCTCGACACCATCTCACATTTACGCAAAATAAATGCATTTTTCTGTTTTCCAACTTTGAACCTTTTCAAAAAAAAATGAAATTTTTTAGATTTAGATTTTAGATGAAAATTCATCGAACGATCAAATTTTCCCAGACAATTTCCCCAAAAAAAAAATCGGCTTTCCTATGCAAATTTGAGGCTTTCGTTGAGTCGGCGGAGATTTTTTTTGCAAAACAATTCACGTTTGGTCATTCGATTTCGAGGAAAGTGGTCAGAAAAGGTTTTACGAATATATTGTTGTTGAAATTTTGGTGATTTTGTTGAAAAATGGAAGTCGGAAAGACGTTGGATGATTTCATTCTGATGGGAAGATACGATTTGATGGCTGCTATTATGATTGAGGTTTGGAAACAAGACCTTTGTGCGTCCTTTGTGCAATAAACGTAAACATATCCTTTCTGGTAGACTCAATATTGGATAGTAGAAGAACGATGAAATACCCTGAAAATGAAAAGCTTAACTGTTGATTGCTCGGGCTTTGAGTTGATTGGTACAGTACTGGACAATGAAATATGATATTTGAAAAACGATCGTCACTTTCGCGCGTCTGTAACTCCCTTGTCTTTGAGTTTAAACTATTAGTGTTATACATTTTCTGAAAGCTCTTTTCAAGGGCTACACAATGGAAATATTAATATTTAGAAATACGGTAAAGACATGGGAGTTACAGACGCGCGAAAGTGACGATCTTTTTTCAAATATGATATTTCATTGTCCAGTAGTGTAAGTCCCAATCGATCGGCTTTGAAGCGTAGATTTCGAATACCGTATTCTCTCTTATATTTCATTGTCCAGTAGTGTATATACTGTAGGTAAATAGTTGATTTTCTTTCTTGTACTAGTCAATACTATTCAAATTTCTGTAGATAAATTGTAAATGTTGAAAGATTAAAGATTAAAGATGAAAGATGAAAGATTAAAGATTAAAAAGTAAAATGCATTAGCAATAAATAAAGCAATCAAAATTCAGCTAGTGATGCTCTCTCAATGTGGCAATTTGATGTTTATGGTGTTTGCGGGTGAGTTGACAACAACGAACTAAAAGTTCGATTCTAAGCAAAAGGATTCTAAGCAAAAATCAACCACTTTCAAAATTTAAAACAACGATTTCAATAGTCTACCCATCTTGTTCAGTTTCGTAGGAATAAATAAGCATTCGGATAGATAAATAAGCTTTAGGAGCAGTACCAAAAGTGACTGGCTGCATTGGTGGGAACACTACTGGCCTCTCTCCTGAAGAGATTTGCCAATTGTATGATGCTGGAGAATGCCATCCAATAACTGAATATCAATTCTTATCAGCGAATGTTGAGGTTTTAAGAAGAAGAAGAAGAATTTTTTAAAGAAAAATCATTCTCTTTCATGAAAAATCATTCTTTTTCTTCTTTTCTTTTAGTTTGGAATCCTTTGTGGTGATACAAAAGAGATCAAAGACAGCACATCGTCACAGGTTGAAAAGCTTTTGCATCGAATTTTGTCGAACTCTTTGTCGAACTCTTTGTCGTACATCTTTATCGAGCAACTTTCATGTGTACTCTAGATGATCGGCTACTTGATCGGGTCACTTATTTGGGGACAAATCTCGGATGTTTTCGGAAGGAAACGGGTGAGTGCCGAGTAAACTACAAAGGCTACAAAGGCTACAAAAGCTACAAAGGCTACAAAGGCTACAAAGGCTACAAAGGCTACAAAGGCTACAAAGGCTACAAAGGCTACACAGGACACTACAAAGGCTTCTAACTTGCTTCAAATCTATCGCATTGAGATAATCTATAGCTGAAAAAAATAGAGAATCTCAAGAGCTTTCGAATGAATCTAAAGCATATTGAAAAATATGGAAAGAAAGGATCAAGAAAGGATCAAGACAGGCGGCTAAAAAGTAACCCAATATCTGGTCTAAATTTGTTTTTGTTTTTTTCAGTTTTACTTTTCAATCTTTGAAAAACTAAACATCTAAATTCATCAAATGCAAATTTTATTGCAAATTTTAGCCAATGTTCATCTGTCTTCTTTTGAATGGAATCCTCGGTCTAGCCACTTGTCTCAGCCCTGATCTTCTCACTCTAACCGTCATCAGAACAGCACTCGCCTTTTTTTTCACTGGACATGTTGTGTGAGTTCTAGTATTGAATGGAATGGATTCTTTGAGGTTCACTGGATTGTTTTAAAAGAGAATTTCCTGGGCTAGGTCGGGGGTAGCTTTACTGGAAACCTATAAGGCCTGGATTTGAAGCCTAGTTGAAAGCAATCGTGAATCAATCAACTCAATCAACATCAACTTGACGAGGAAGCGCTCAATGCCATTTTTGAGCACGAGAGAAAACATCTGGAGGTTGACTGGGTTATTTTAAGAGGGAATTTCCTGGGCTAGGCCGGGGGTAGCTTTACTGGAAACCTATAAGGCCTGGATTTGAAGCCTAGTTGAAAGCACTCGAAAGTTGAAAGCACAATCAATCAACTCAATCAACATCAACTTGACGAGAAAGCGCTCAATGCTGTTTTGGAGCACGAGAGGAAACATCTTGAGGTTGACTGGGTTTTTTTAAAAGAGAATTTCCTGAGCTAGGTCGGGGTAGCTTTACTGTAAAGCTGTAAGACCTGGATTTGAAGCCTGGTTGAAAACAATCGTGAATATCTAACTAAAGTTTTCAATAAGTTATTTATCAAAGAATGGATTCTTTGAAAAATCGATCTTCTTTCATCAATTTATTCTAGAATCGTTTTCGTACTCTTCTGCGAGACGTTTCCCTCAAAACATCGTTTATGGCTGGCTTTCGTTCTCAATTGGTCCCCAAATTATGCTCTAGTAGCTATTATCGGTAATTTGAAATCATTTTTAAATTCAAAAACTCTATTAAAGAGCTTTAAAAGCTCATTCCTCGATAATTCTAAATCGTTTTCAAATTCAAATTGATGATATTCAAAAACCTCAACTAAAGTGATCATTTCTCATTTTCTAGCGTATCTTTGTGGAAACTGGCGTTGGTTCTCGCTTATCATCAATGTGCTATGCTTTCCCGCAGCTTTCATTTTATGGTTTGGTTTTTTTTTTATATTAAGCTAGAAAGAAAGTTCGTAGAAAAAGTTTTCACGATGATTTCTCAAAAACCAAGCTATCAATTCTTCCCAAATCTTTTGTTAAACTATATTTCAAAAAGATTTTGACAAAAAAAGGATTAGAGTTGGCTTCAGGTAAAAAAAAAATGAGAGATTTCTTCAGCTTTTCTAAAGTAGAGCTTTCAAATGATAGCTTTCCAGGCTTTCAAATGATATATTAAGTTGGAAAGTTCTTGGAAAACATTTGCACGATGATTTTTTGAAAAACCAAGCACTAAGCCAACCAAAAAGTAGAGTTGTAGAGTCAGAAAAGTCAAAAAGTAGAGTCAGGTAAAAAATGA